GCATGCGCAACCCATAAGATCAACGCCTAGCTAACCTGAAATCATTTACAATACACAGAGCCTAGGGTTCAGTACAAGTAGGAGGTCGCGCGGGAGGGGCATGTGAACAGCGTTCGATGCGTTCTGTGTGCAGCTACCCTCGACATGGAAATGACTTACCACAGCCGTGCTTCACATGGGTAAAGTTCTCCCGTCGAGGACCTACCAGTACACACCGGAGTGGAGTGACGAACCACCGGCAACCGACAAGGGTGTGCTTTGGGCGTGCTCCTGCGAAATTTTAGTTTGCAACCAACAATTTATTCTGATATTTTTGCCCAATAAATAGCCACAATCCCAAAAGTCGCTGTAAACGACCTCAAGGAGGTCGTCCAGAGCGGTTTTTGCAAAAGTCGATGGAAACGATTTTGATTGGCTACTTTTCCAAAAACCGCTGACACAAAAGTCGCTCCGAACACGCCCTTACTACTATTAATACTTCGAAGTACGTAGCACTATTATCATTTACTAGTATACTATTGTGCTTTTCACTCGTTTTGGCTATTCACACCATAAACCTGGGTGTTTGTTACATCGACCCCAGTGTTTTAGATAATCCGTACAGTGAATTAGGATCACGTTTCGTTACATAATGTAATTATAGGGAGGTCATTTATGCAACTCCCTCGCTTTTGCACATTTGAAAAGTGCAAATCGAAGTTATATCTGCTATTCTCGGGACCAAATTCACAATTCACTGGTCATCATGAACAACTTTTGATAATACAAATGACACACAGCGAGGACATGCGCCTGTGTTCTTACGTACAGCGATGTACGTATGGTGCCACATCGTAGAAAACCACGCCATCTTCTTTTTCCATCGCATAGTATATGCAGGTAGCGCGTACTACGCGATGGAATAACAGCCAAGGTGTTTTGGTCACTTCAGCATCACATGTGATTATTATTGCTCAGAGTTATTAGGTATTTATAAAACCCCAGTGAATTAGCTAAAACACCAGGTATTTATTCAACTTTGTAACACAATTACAGCAGATGTACCACTCTTTTAGCCACCTAAAACCGACGCCAAAAACAAGTGCAAAGCACAATAACAGTAAGTAGCATTATTAATAATACTATTGTTAATAATAGTTGTAGTACTGTATGGTATTTCTAGTATGTTATGTTTTGCATGTCATTTCTTCGAAAAGTGACCGCGATATGCCGTCGAGAGGCCGCGGTTCGTACTACGACGAGGGTAGTATTTATTCTCACAGGTATTTCATATTAAGCCAACATGTGCATGAAAAACCGATTCATTAAATTAGAACAGGTCATAAATTTGAAAAGACAATAAATGTTTATGGTATTGGTCTATTTCCGATACATCTCGACAAGACAAGCTGGCAGCATGTTCAATCCACTCGTGACCATGGTGTGGCTGTGCGTCGGCTACATTGTCGGGCGCGTGGACGTGGCGTGGTATGTCCGTGCTTTCTGTCGTGAGATCTACACACTCCCGCCGTCGCACAAGGGGTGGGTCGCGGGGTGCCTCGTGGTGCTGATCGGAGTGTACGTGCTCCTGCTCGTGCCGCTCTTAGCCATCGCGTCTCGGGAAGCCAAGAGCAGCGGACACAACCCTGCGATTGTGCCCACGTCGTTCCGCAGCGAGATCCGTCGACGGGGAAGTTACAGCATGAACTACATCAACGACATCAAGTCGCATGTTCTCGCGCGGTCGTAGTCGGTATCGTCCATTCCTCCGCCTCAAACGACCCGTCTGTCTGCAGCATGATGGCAATCCTTCGAAGGATGCTGCCGGTGTATGTGCTCTTTTCACGTTGACCAACGAACTCCACACGCCAAGAAGGCAGCGTAACCAACTCAAATATCTATCACATCGACATGTATTCTTCTTTCTCATCGCGCCCATATTTCCACCTTCCTCTAATAGCCTACGGTGTCTCATATTGTTTTCGCAGGTGGTTGGCACAGCTTACTCTGACGTAGATCCCCAATTTATCACTAGAACAACCAGCAACATATTCCTTTCGAAGGGGGCTCCGACACAAGAGCCCCAATAATGCTAATTGAACCCTACAACTCAATGAGATTCAACGCAAGATGACCATGCAGTACGCCCGTACGCTTGGCTTCTTGCAAACTGCATATGCGCCGTTTGTATACGAGATGTCCACGCATGTTGATAACAACTTGTCCCCTAGTAATACTAACGGAAGTACTAGTAGTTACTAAAACCCCATCGTCGCCGCATCAAATCGCTCCATCGCGCCAGACACGGCGTCCACCACGCGCTTTTCGTTCATGATGTACACCGACCGAAATCCGCCCGTCTCGTCAAAACGCTATCACCATATATATTATTTTAGATATATATATATTTATCGAAGAATCTGTGATAGTACCTGGACAGTGCGGAGGCGCCGCGCATTGTCAATCGACGTAATCGTCTCCACCATCACAGGTCGACCTAGTGCACACTTCGTATGAGAATACGCCCAACCAAGCGAGAAATATGGAATAATTTTAGAAACACGTAGATGTATCCTAATATATATATATATATATCGTATTTTTAACGATTACAAAATATACCTGTGCGCTTGGACGTGGCTGTGATGATCAAAATGTTAAGCCCCACTTCCTGCATCGTAATGTCGCTCCCCCGCAACGACGGGTCGTCTGTTTCCACCTAAACCAACAAATATTTATTATGGATTGATTAAGCAAATTATTAAACAAGGAATAATATTTATAGAGAGATAGATGTACCTTGAGAATGCCATCGGCCGCAGGTTTGATCCAGCAGTATTGTGTCGTGGTGAGTCCGCTGATGGACGTGCGCATTTGCCGCAAGTGCCACGCACCTAACAGGACAATCAGAGACTTCAACACAAAAGACATGAAGGAACCTTCTTCGCGATACGCCAGTTCCGACGAACACACTTGCGTGCCTTCTTCGTGCGGGGGGATCGAAGTCAACTCGCCGTTCCAACGCCCTTCCATGCTGTCGGCAATGACGTTAATACCATACGAATGTTGGGAGAGAGGTAGAAGATGTACCTTGGAAGGACGTGGTAGCTGCAGCCATTGACAAGGACAGACAGTTGGTTGAAAAAGGTGCGACCGCTGGCTGCAAACACATGAGATTCCTACGAGAAAGGACGAAATACTACCTTTCGGTGGCGGCGGGGCGCTTGGTTTCACCGACATGCGCGAAATAATGCTCCGATCAAAACCCAGTTGATGGACCGTCCCGTCTTCTCCCGCCGCCCAAATGTTGTCTACCCGTCCATGAGTCGATCGTAACTCGAAGGGGTCAATTGTCTACCTTGTTGCATCATGCGGAGGTTCGAATGTTCATGCAACCGGCGCTGCTTGATCGCATCCGCGAGATGTGCATAGTTGACACCGTGGAATGGTTCGTGGAGGGTTTCAATGTGCACGAGTACAGCGCCATCCGAAATGCCATGTTCGGCAATCGACTTCTCGTCTTGCAATTCCTTGCCTTTGTGCAGCAGCACAATGTAGTCCGCACGACCCTGTACCTTCCCGCTCTTTTGGTATGACGCCTACATATGCCCATCAGCGCTGCTCCGTGGTCGGAAATGAGTTGTTCCGACACACCTTCACAGCGGCAATGCTTTCATGCACGTCAAACTCCAGCGGCACAGAATACGCCTACATCCATCATGCATCAGGGCCCCCTTCTACTGCCACCCCGTGTCCGTACCTCGTTCTTCACGTACAACGTCACCGACATGATGAATTCCGAAATGAAGCGTATCTTTGCGGTGGTGTGGGTGAATGCATTGGATTGGCTAAAATAGTTTGATATTCGCACTGGATTGGCTATAATTTAATTTAATTCCACCCACGGCATCGTATTTAATGCATACAAATACAAAGATCCATTCAACCAGGCAGTTGAAGCAGACATTTCGAGAGGGTGCGAAAACATTCGACGGCGAGGTTCTAGAAACATCGCGTGAGCCCGTACATGAGGCGCTAGTTTCCCGACCTTGGCCGTGGAAAGCCGTGGCCTCCAGACTTTTCATGGACGAATCGCATCTTTTCAATCCATATCATGGGCCTCACAGGAGGCGGAACGGCGTGAGCTAGCTGGCAAGGGATTTACTCATGTTTGACACCCTCATCGAGACAGCAGTACAGTAGCAGCGCGGCAGAGCATTGATATGTTACATCTACCCGCACGAAGGCTATGGACACGACGACAGGCCAGCACAGGTGGTCATCGACAGCATTCACAGCGCATTCGTATGCTCCACCATTATGCTGCATGTATTGCAAAATGTGTATTGGTCGGATTTATGCCCCCCCCCCCAGTAAATTGGATATAAGTGTGACCCCCCCTACCCGTCAAATTATTTTTGCTGGTTTCAGCGGCGCCATTTTCGTCGACATCGGTCCACCTGGCATCATTATCCATGACGACGAGTTCAACATGGTGGGCGATCCCTGTGACCGTGGCGTCAGTGGTGGCCCTCGCTTACGCACTGGTACAGCTCACGGTCGAGCCAGAGTACGTGTGTCACTTCTGCCTGCATCGTCGTAGTTGTCTGACTCATGCCAGGTCCGTGCAGAAAAAGCGGCATGCGATGCACGTACTGTCGGAAGTCCAAAATATCTCGGACACTGTCGTCGCGAAGCTCGATATCCTTGAAGTCGATGTCCACCACTTGCTTGACTCCGCCAAGGCCGACTCACCCAACGACGTCCCATTGAACTCATGTAGGCTCAAGGACCCATACATCGTCCTCGTCCTCCCATTTGCTTCCTTTGCTCATGCCCGCATTAGACTACCACTTTGACTCGACTGGCAAGAAGCTCAAGAGCAAGTGGGATTCATACGACGTCGACGCCGAGCTCGACAAGGTCGACGATGACACTGCCACGTCAGCCCTTCGTCGGCCTACTTCGTCCCCCGACCAGCTCCGTCGAAAGGTCGGCGAATTGGAGCACGAATTCGAAGCCGTACGTAGTTGATTCTGTGTCCTATAAATGAATCTTTGGATCCGTCCTCCATCGTGCTGATAAATGAATAGTTGATGCTAATAAATGAATAGATTTTGGCGTATTTGGACACAGTGCGGGGCGACGAAGAGGTGCGCATTGTGCGCAAGCAATTGGTGGGTGCCATCAACGACACGTATCTCGTGACGTTGGACCGGCTCAAAGGTCAATTGGCATGAGTGAAACCGTGGAAACAGAATAAATGAATCATTCATGTATTTGAGTCTGTCCAATTTGATACTGTAATAGTATGGTAGAGCATTACTAGCTTTGAAGCTAGCTCTATTAAAATAGCTAAATGCCCAACAACTGAAGTGCTTGAATTCACTAGTTGGCCATATCTTGGTATAAACATTGAAGTGATGCTAGTAAGTAGCCACCATGGTTACGTGATGGACTGCAACACGTTGCTAAAGAACGTGTGGGTGTGGAGACAGCCACGGGCGATGCCGAGGTAGCAACTGGCCTGCTTCATCATGCCAATCTCGTTCAGGTCCTGGGCCAGACGGTACGCCTGGTCAAAGTACCGGACGGCGTTGTCGTGGTGGCCGTCCGTGGTGGCTAGGAACCCCAGCTGCATCCACGCGTTCACTTCGGCACTGCGGTCCTGCACGCTCTGAATCAGCTGTAGGTGCTGGTCCATGCACGCTGTGGCCGTCGAGATGTCGCCCTACCAATAATACAGTAATAATACCATCATCCTTATCTATTTGATTGAAGTACAGTACACCTTCCTTCAACAACAAACGTATTCTCGTGCCAGGTCGTTCAACACGATGGAAATCTCTCTCATGTGAACAAAGGTCAACCAACTTACTCGACTTTATATATAAATATACATATATATATACTTTGAAGCATAATATGTAAGGTAGTTTAGATAGGTAGGGAGTAAGCTTAGTTATAATCTATCTATATATATTTGCTTGGGTTTCCATACCTGTCGGCTGGCAAGGAGCCCGAGGTTCCCCACCGCGAGGCTTTGTCCGTACGCGCTGTTGAGGCGAATGGCCAAACGGAGTGCTTCTTGATGATGTTTCGCCGCGTCACTAAACTACATATACATGCGTTCGACTACTAGTACTACTACTAGTAATAGTACTACTAAGAGTTACCCGTCCAAGACTGCCCAGGGTGAGGCCAAGGTTCGTATGTGCGACGAATTGGCCGGCGTCGTCCACCGTGAGGTCGGCGTGCATCTGGTGGTACGTGAGGGCCGCCTGCAGGTCCGCGCTATCGACGTCCACAAAGCGCCCTGTGTATGCCACGTCAGAGGACGAACTCAGCTACAGGGGAAGCCAAGTTAAGGTCGGTGGCAGCAAGGGGGGTGTAGTAGGGGGGATGTAGTAAGGGGGAGTAGTAGGGGGGATTAGTATGGGGAGTAGTAGGGGGATTAATAGGGGGATTAGTAGGGGGAGTAATTATACTAACCTGGTAATCCACCCCAATACAGGAGACGACGAGCGCTCGAAACGGCACGTTGTCCGAGTCGTGGAGCAGCGCCAGCGCTTTTTTGTACACGTCGATGGCCAAGCCAAACTCGTCCAAGTTGTCGTGCACAATGCCCATGCTAACCATCCCACATTTGCGTAAGAAAAAAGGGGGATGTTTGCTATACATTCTCCATTCTTCAACTACACCAACGACGACGACTACTGCCTCCACCACCTGCTGAAGAGGAGGGTGTACCTGAAATATGCCAGCGCTTCTTGTTCGGTTCGCCCCGCGCGTTTGCTCGAGGCGGCCTGGTGCAAAGGGTTAGGGGGATTGTGTAGGGGGTAGAGACGCAAGTCCAACTGCTGTACGTATACTGTACTACGTACTACACGGATGGAATACCAACCAGCATGGTGAAGTCCTTCAGGCGCTTGGCGTCGACGGCGGTTTCCTTGGGTTTGTCCAAGTTGAGGCTGGAACTAGTGAGCCCCACGCTATTGGACAAAGCGTGCTTTCGCCGAGCCATGGCGCGCGCCGAGAACACGTTCTGACGCACGCGGTCGTCCCGCGACATGCTCGGGGTTCGAGCGGGAGTGTTCATCTACAGGTCGTAATAACTCTTTAGAAGGGGGGTGAAGAAGAAGGATGGGGGAGGGGAAGTTTGTGCAAACCATGAGAGGGGCATCCATGCGTTGAGGCAAGTCGGTTTGGGGCGTGGCTTCGGCCAGTTGAGACCCCTGGTTGGCGGGCGCAAGCGGTTCCAAGGCACTGACACGAATGAGTCAGCATGGTCATAACGTATATGAAGACAAGAGTCGAGTTCTGATTACATGGGCGGAGCGAGGAGTTTGCCGTCGCGGATCATACTCACGAAGCAAGTGTGTTAGCTGTCACACAATCGATCGAGTTGGGTTCAGAGCGGTAGGTACAGCCTGAAACCACCATGTAACGGCAGGCAGTTGAACAATACTGGGAGTAGAATGGAAAGGCGCAAATCGCGGGCCTTCTTTGAATGTAACGTTAGTTGGTTGACATGGATATTGGTAGTACGTATCGCTCACAAGACACTGGGTCCCCAAACTGTTAGACGGAACCTAACGCAATGCCGTACAGTCTACTGAAGCACATGTATACATACATACATATATATATGTATATATGCTAGTCAAGCAATTAGCGAGAGTCCCATACATAGTTCAAGCCTATGTTACTTTTTTGTAAGATTATGGCCTGCCATTGTCGTCTCCAGTAGCTTGAGCTGTCGAAGCTGCCTTGCAAATTGTGTCAAGATCACCGCTAGCCTCGTCCCTCCTCGAACCAGTTGGGCTTCGGCTGTACCAACGACCTGGTGTTGGTAGGCATCGCTGGGACACGCCACCTGACACGTTCTGACGGATGACGCGATGTCGCAGGTCAAGTTGAGGCCAGTGTACGCGTCTCGCGCTGCCACGTCATGGCTCTCGACAAACAGTTGCGTCAAGTAGGCCGACCCGTCCTTTCGCGTCAAGTGGTGCTCAAACTCAACGTACGACACATGCTTTCACTTGTTGAGACTCAACGGATCCGCCAAGCCGGCATATTGCCGCAGCAACCGAGTGGTTGATGGCGCGGCGGTCGGCCGAATCCGTGGTCATGTCTGGCGACCAGTTCACACTCCCGTACACCCCTGCCAAGCTGTCCCACATCGCATGCAAGTTGGTGGTCACACAAGGCTTTCGGAACACGAACGAGTTCCCACCGGCATCGTCGCGAGGAAAGCGAGCGGACACGCCCGCCGCGGCATGCAGCGGGTTGTGGACGTCGCCAAACACATGCAGGAATAGCCGGAGGGCGTGGTTGGCGGTCCATGGAGAATGGGTGGTCCGCAACGTTTCAAAGATACCAGTCAGAACGTGATTCGCAGAGCCGTCGAGGCTGCTGGCTAGCAACGCTGCAGGGTCGACGGGATTAGGCAACCTAGAGGGTGGCAATGCCACGGGGAGGTTCACGTAGTGCCATGCATTGTAGAGTGACCACGACGGCGTGAGGGAGGACGGGCAGTACGTGGTCACGACGGAATTACATTTGAGCAAGTCGGCCCAGATGCACGCGGTGGTGACGTCGCCAGTGTTGGGGAAGTCGCGGTCCCATTGTCGGAGCAGGAGATGCAACGTCTCCACGTCCTTCGTAGCCATCGACTGCGTCGCTATCTCACCCCCAAGCATGTGGCTGTTGTCCCACCATGAAAATGTGGGAGCCACAAACGATAGAACTACAATCACAAGCCACTGACCACTTTACAGTTAGTTTACAGAAGTACAGGAAGAGGGCTGTATTCATAACACGTTATCATGTGATCAGTTTACTGTTTACTGTTAGCACTGTTCACGTTAAGGGCGGCATAAGGAGACGACGCCTTGTTCATTCCACATTCCCATAGACTCCGTCGTGTAGGTACTGTAGCTACCTTCCCCGACTCACTACTTCATCACACTACGATACTGGTAAATAAATGGTCCCACGGGGGATCGAACTCGGGACTAATTGTACGCACTATATTTGCTGTGACTTCTCAATTGTACCGGGCTGAGTGGCTTCAGCTTGTAACCGCAAGTTTCTGGCGGGGTAGGGTTCTTAAAGGGAGAAGTCACTATTGAGAGGGATCTATTCACGGTATGTGGATTGGGGGAGGTATCTCCGGAAGCCATGGGGTTCTTAAAGCGAGGTGTAGCACCTCGGGGTGGCCAAAGGTGCAATCTCTTTTTGCCTGTGGAAGGGATATATGGCATGGTAGGACAGTTATCCGGAATCCGGTTAAAATTTGTTATACGGATTTAACCGGTTGATGTTGTCCCCATCGTGCAGCCCCCCCCCACATAAGGGCTGCTGACAAAAGTTTTAGGCGCCCCAAAGGCTCTTACGCTGGTCTATCATTGAACGGCATCGCACGTGTAGGGCTTTTCGCCACAAAAACCTGTGGTCGGTTTTGGAGGTCTGCCTTTAATGTGACGCATTCGACATTGAGGCAATGTGAACAATGGATGTATTTGAATTTTGAGCTGTACCGCATGCACTTTTTCGGCAAGGACATGGTGTGACGCATTGCGACTGGCAGTTGTCACTTGGTAGGCAGATTCCTTTGAAGTTATTATGGAAAGTCACTGAATTGCAAGGACTTCCCTGGAAATGAGACTAAACTATTGCAACCCATATTCGAGCTAATACGTAACGTTAGTAAAACCTAACGTTAGTCTAAGGTCTGTGCAATGAGACCTTGACGTGCAGTGTTGGTACATTGCGTACTGCAAATGATGCCATCATGATTCACAGTCCAACAAATCAGTCGCAAAATGGATAACGTTATTATGCCCTCAGGCGATGCCCAATTTAGTGCAGTACACAGGGCAGTCTGGTGAATTCTACAGAGGTGCATTAATCGGCGCTCCTTGCCTGTAAACTGTGGGTGGGCTACTGTACGTACACCCTGGGAAGTAAATTGTCTTCGTTGGGGCAATGGATCCTGTGCCCCAAATACCGATTATTTTCACACAGTACGGTATTTCGGGGGATACGAATAACTGCTGAATTATACGGATGGTAGAACCTGGTAGGGTTTTGGTAGGAAATGGTAGGAAACAAAAACACCATATACAGGACCGCAGTAAAAAGCACTATTTTGGTCCACGACTCGAATACATAGATGTATGTATTGACTATGAATTGCTTTATGCAGGGGACGACAGGGACAAGACGACGCTTGACAAGGGTCCCATATGACTACAGTTTGCTGCTATCCATCTCTACACGTGTCCCCACGCAACTTGTGGCCGTTCTGTGTCACTCATTTACTCATGCTACTACTCCATGTACCCCCCTAGTACTTTTTACGTACTAAGCAAAAAAGCACATGGTAACTCAAGTTTCGTTTGTGTGATGGGCTTGCAATTACAGTTTGATCACGAGCCACACGTTGACGGCGACATACAGCACCAAGAGCGCAATGCCGTCGCGGGGACTGAGCCCGACGTAGAAACCCTTGGCCTTAGAGAAGCATGCGCAGAACACCCCACGGAGGTTGAGCACCAAGTACGCAAAGATGATGACGGCGAGCAGCTGGAACAGCAACGTTTCTTGCTCGTACGGGATGTGGATCTGTGGATCCAGATAGTGTCTATTAATACGAGAACACATGCATCTATAACAAGATCATGCGACGTACCTCGCCGTGGAAGAGCGTGTACAAGAACCAAGGAAGCCCACTGCCCAGCGTGACGTTGATGACTTGGGACCCGATCGCGTTACAGACGGCGGCGTCGGCGTGGCCGGCGCGAGCGAGCGACACGGACGCGATCGCGTCGGGGATTTGAGAGCCCAGCGCCAGGAGGGTCACCCCCGCGACTTCAGTCGACAGGTTCAACGCCGTCGTCAAGATGCGGGTCGAGTACAATGCCGCCGCCGACAAGAGCGCCACGTACACGATGGACAGCACCAGCGTGACGGGGTAGTACGATCGGGTGGGAGAGTCGACGCCACATTCAGGCAGGGTGTACGCGAAGAGGATGCGGAAGGGACGGGAGAGGAGGTCGATCACTTTACGGACGGGTTCGAGCCACGCAGGTTCCGCAGCGCCTTCTACACGACGATCGTTGATGGAAGATTTCAACAATGGACATCAAGCAGAACATTCGAAAAATAGAAATAGAACAAAAACGGACCAATTCAATGCATTTTCGCTCAAAAGTCGTCGAAAACGACAAAAAGCACGAAAAAGACGACAAAAAGGGCAAATATTCAACCACACCGGACGTACCCTCAGCATGGACGGCACCATATCCCTTGGACGACGACGTTGCGAGGAGTGGGTTGTGCGGGGCAAGGGCATGGTCGATCATGTGGTTTTCCGCCGGAGTGATAAACTCGTCGTGGCGGTCAGGGTCGACGGGGCGGAGCCAGATGGGCACGAAGATGATCAACATGTATCCGACGTAGACGAGGATGAGAAGACCGGACTGCCACGTGCCGACTTGGGAGTCGTTCATGACGTACACGAGCGTGCCGAGACTGGCGATGTACACCATCGAGTCGCGGATCATGGGGGCCCATGAAATCATCAAGGACGTCGGGGCGACCAGCGTACAGAGGGCGGGAATGAGGGCGAACGCAATGATGGCGGACCCGAGAATAGCAGAAAGGGACGATTCCATCGCCTCGATCTTGCCTTCGGCGGTCGCGACTGCGTTCAGGAGGATTTCGGGGGCGGCGCTGCCGAACGCAAGGAAGGATGCACCGGCCGCTTCTTCGGGGATCTTGAGCTTCTCGCACAGCGTTTCAATCGAAGGGACCAAGTAGTCATCACACACGATCGCCAGGCCGAGGAACACGTACAACAACGCGAGGATTGTGAGAATGGCGCTTACGACGGGGCTACTGAAGAATGAAGTCGCTTCTGCCTCTACAGCGGGAGCGATAGTCGTGGCGACAACGGCCGTGGCATTCTGCGCCAGAGCGACGGACGCGGCGACCGCAAGCGTCAACGCCTTGATGGAAGTCATTGCACGAAGCGTCGAAATATGCTATGACGTTCTTCCAGCCGAGTGTTGAGGAGGGGTGATGCACGACGACAGGTTGAATGATATTCTGTTGTGTTTTTACCTAATAAAGCAGCACGACCAATTGATGGTTGAAAAAGATGGAATATACGTCTGTAAATACATATGTCATGTCATCTCGCCCTTTGGACTGAAGTATATAGGATTTCTGGTTTTTCCCATGGGCTAAACAGTCGGGACGAGCCAGCACCCCTGCAACGACGGGATGTTCCATCAGTACACTGTAGCACGGGATACCCTTCTTCTGTGGGGTGCTGCTGCTCAATATTAACCAGCAATTCCAATGTACCAGCGCATTCTTTGAATGATGTTGCGGTCGTGTGCGAATATGGACAAACGGCTATGCGCGATGGTCGTTGTGATTTCGTACAGTATGTGGGCAAAACATGGTTTTTCCCATTTATTTTGTTCGAATATGTCATACGAATCCTTGGATCGTCCCTCCACGAACGACGCGACCTTCTGATGTCCAGCTCACTTGGAGGCAGGCATTGCATTGCGCATGGAGGTCCAAGACCATCGCACTGCGTATATGGCCCGATGTCTTCGTCGCTCGTGTAGCACTCATCCCATGTACAGTACGTATCGACCTGGTCTCCCCGTGGTGCATGTACACTGCACGATGTGTGTGATGCATCCACGGACGATAGTACAACACAATCACTCCATTACAGACTCATTCTACGACTCTACTGCACACAAACAGGACGTCGTGTGTTAATCACGCAGCTGTTCCGGCGCCGACGCCACGCGGCAGCATCCCCCCGGCGGGACTGCATGCATACGGCCGACGGCGGCCTTTGGTTACTACTGCCAACGTGGTCTCTCCCGCAGGAGCAATGGCATCTTCGATCATGATGAGGTCATTTCGAGGCGTACATGGGCGGGTATTTGGCGACGCTTTGAGCAGTCGGTGGGGGTGCTGCTTGTGCTCGAGGGACAACGGATGGCGGCGGTGGTGGTGGGAAGTGGAGGAAAATTCCCCGGCCGACTGGTGCCTCGTCAATGAGATGTCGGTGGGTGCAATGTATCGCGAAGGGAAGTTTGCCCCTTCGTAAGGGCTTCTTCGTGGAGTGTGATGATGGGACTTGCCGTCACTCGGCTCCATCCTCCCTGCGGCCACCAGTGGGTGCGTGTACTGGCGCGACAGGTTCGTACGGGGAGTGAAGTACGGATTGTTGCTTTGTCCGTTGGTGGGAGTATTCCCTGGGAAATGTGCGTTCGAAGGGGGGAAATTTCCTCGTGGGGTGGTGGTTGTCGTACGCGACCGGGTCGTGGGCGTGGACTGCACGCGTACCAAGGCTCGCGTCGCCGGGATATTTCCTCGATCGTCCTCTTCCAAGTGGGATTTTTTCCCAATCGACCCTCTCTCTTCCTCATACTCGTCCCAGTTTCTCGGCACCGCCTGTTGCTGTCGCGACGATGTCGGGGTCTTGGTGGAGCGGTGGGGATGGCCGTCCAGGACATCATGCAGTTGCGGCTTGGACCGCGCCTTCGTGGACCGCGGCTGCCGCGCTGCTATGGCATCGTCCCAGTCCTGGAACATTTGGGGTTTTTCCCTCGCCCTCGTCGATCGAGGTGGCGCGGGCAGCTTCTCGGACGTCAAGCCACGAGGGGCAGGGAAGGATTTTTCCCTAGCATGGCGTGTCCTGGATCGGGCACTTGGAGTCAGGGGAAAGTAAATCAGGTGCTGCTGCGATTGTGAGATTGGCGTCGAAGGCGGAGGATGCTGGGGCGGCCCGAAGCGGTAGCCTGTCGGCACTACCGTCATCTCCTTGCTCGACAGTCGCCCTCCTACACATATGCCCCCCCATCTTGTCAACAACTACTGTATTGTTGATTCGAAACAGAAGAATTGGCAGAAGTGTGATTATCCAATCAGATTGCAGGACACCATCAAATCCGTGTGTGACATAAATTAGTGTGATTACAACAACATTATACAGACAACATTTGGTAGTACAAAGAATCGATCGATATTGTTGTGTTTATATAGTTCATTCGATTCAAAATTGGAGTGGTGCTCAATCGAATGACCAGAATCACCAAATCGGCAGAGAATCGATCGACCAATCAAAACACAAAATCGTCATGAACTAGCCAATCAAACCTACTCTTCGAATAATTCAACATTGAATTAGTGTGTGATTGAAATTAGTGTGACACTGGACGATCTTTACATGCAAAAGTCAGTACAAGAATCGATCGATAGATTTGGCAAAGAATCAGCACAAATGTCCAAATATTGGGTAAAAGGACAAGAGCGATATGGAGAATGAATCGACACAACCAATCTAAATGGACAGAACATAGTAGTATTTAGCCAATCACAATGCAGGAAACAACCATCCTCAACAAAGTCAAATTAGTGTGGAACTTTTAACTAGTGTGATACCAATTTACATTCAAAATTAAACAATCGATCGATAGATTTTGGCGAATCAGTACAAAAATAATCCACATTTTGGGTAAAAGGACAATATTTATATCGATTTGGCGATTCAGCCTATAAAGTATCGACGCACCTCTCGCATGGTTGGACGCAGCAGTTATACCAGGACACAACGCACTCGTCGTCGTGGCAGGGGCGGCGCCAGTAGTAGGAGTACTAGTACTAGTACTAGTACTACTACTACTACTAGTACACGCGGCACAGATGCGGACTTGGAGCTTGTCGAGGTGCGTGCCAACGTCCCACTGCCGCGAGCATGTCCGACACACGACTTCGCCGCACTGGCGGCAGCTTTCCTTGCTATAACCAAACACTCCGAACCGGGCACAACAGACAAAGCACTTGACGCGAAGGGCAAATGGCACGAGGCGATGCATGGGAAGGAACGGGAGGCCGCGGAGTCGCCGCGATCGGAGGTGGGTGTCCAGATCCGCCACGGCGCGGCACCGCCTCCGCACCGCCGACGCTGTCACGAACGACGGGATGCTGCCCTTCCAGTCGATTTGGTGCAGCGCCATGGCCACCAACGCACCCCGTCGAGTCGGACTCTCCATGATGATGTACCCCGACCGGTGGTACTCGCCGCGCACGACGTTGAAGGTGGTCTGCAGGTCCGGGCAGCATGTTAACTTGACCGATTTGAACGCGCGCACCCACCCTGGACGCCCGTGGTCGGTCGTAAAGTCGTGCTGGCTCTGAAGCACATGCCGCGATGAGGTTTGTCCAAGGGAACGTAGTCTATCGACCTACTGTACCTCAAGGAAGCACCAGTCACGCGGGTTGGCGAGCCCGGGCATGGCGCTGGCGGACCACTGGAGACTCAGGTGGTGACGTGGCCGATCCGTGGACTCGGTTGCGAGGGTGTACAGCGTCTGGCCGTCCAGGTGGTCGGTCCCGAACATGCGCAGGTACTCGTGGTACCCTTCCGCGGTGTCAGTCTTGAACAGCGCCGCGACTTCGTCCAACGTCCCCATCACTTCTGTCACGCCGACGTACGACGTCACGCCGCGAGGCGCGGACGGGTCGTTGCCAGAATACAGCTGCAGGCCGTCGATGTCGGACGCAAGTGTCCACGTGATGGATCCACCTTGCAGGCGGGACGCATGCACCTATGGTCACCATGATCGTTGGGTCAATGGAGGGACTGATGGAGGGGATGTAGTTACCATGTCGGTGGAAGTGCGTTCTCCCAGAGCTTGCAACCGAGTGATTTCATCGGCAGACAGCGCCGGACAACGAAAGTAGTCGGGCGGCAGCGGGAACTTGGACATGTATACAGGTTGTCCTGTGGGTGCGAAGAAGGAGATCGCTTGATGATGATGATGCGGATGATGCTGGAGGTTCGTTGCCTGGGTATGTAGCCGGTCCTCGTGTCCTCCGAACGATATGCGTCACCTTTGCACCCAAGAGATGCAGATTAGGCCCAACGTGGCTCGCGTTGACGCGGGTACATCGGTTTAATGCCACTAAATTGTGCAAATTGTACTACTATTTTACTGTTACTCAGGAGTAATGTAATTCCGGAGTAAAATGACAGCGACGGGCTGGTTACTGTTATTAGCATTGCATGCATGTATATTAGAGGGGAAGCGACACTATACATTTAATAGCGCAAGTCAATATGCTACCGGTATACAGTACACGGTCCAGTCGTTCTTGTTTCCCGGAGGTCGCGAATCGTCCCACGCTCATTCCGATCGGTTTAACGCAAGTACTTTGAAGTACTACTCCGTAACGTTAGTATGTACTTTCGATGGGTTAGATTTGTCCCAGTTTAAAGTCACTAAACTATACCAAACTATACCAGTGTACTTCGAAGTAGTGTAATTCAACTGCTTATATGACAGTATGGTATTAGTACAAATGTATACTGTACTACGGAGTATAATACTGCACATACAGTTCTCTTTATACTACGTAGTAACTGTTATAGGTAGTGTATGTGAAACTGCAAACTTACGGTACAACGGCTAAAGTAACTGCACCACCTCGTCGACACCCCCAACGGCACGTCAGGTGTACAGTCGCCACGCTAAAAATCGAAAGGAATGCAACCAAACAAGTCGAACTTCACTTCGTCGTATGCGCGGGGAGAATGACTCGGTGGCCAGAAACTGAAGGAATACAGTCTCGCAGGGGAGATCTGGTTACAAAATGTCATCAACACCCCCAATCGCATTCCTCGATACATACTGGTACAGTTGGGGATGTTGATGACCCACGCGTTTGCAAGCGTGAACTGTAGAATAATTCCCTCATATTAAAACAGTTCCACTGTTGTTTTGACCCGATATATGTACTGTTTCAAAGAGGGAATAATTACAGTACATCATCCGGATACACGTTTTCGCCAAGTAGCCCTGTAACCTGGGACTCCGTCCTACCCCCGGTGAGTACATACGATGCTAAATCTCAGTGGTTAGAGATAGCTAACCACTGAGATGCCCTTAACCCCTATTGTAAGAGGTGAGGTGGTCTGAGCATACAAAGTTCCATAGAAACCTCATTGAAACAGTATTTCGGGTCAAAACAACAGTGGTACTTATTTAATGAGGGAATTGTACGTTAACTGTATACTCGAGTAATGTGAGGGTGGGTGTAGGTTCCCGTATATTCGCCACTACTGTATACGTATACTACTGTACTAGTATAACTACTGTACCGCAGAATCACAAGCTCAATCTGGCTCAATCATGGTGTACAAAAAAAATACTGTGAGTCAAATAGGGAGTACATGTCTATAAATATCAACAATCACAAAGTATTATATTTCACAGGTTTAACCGGCATTGCGCAACGCTTGACGTGGTTTGAGTGGGTTTTTTGCATCATATTCAAATGCTTTCGAGCGCTTCCGACGTCCTGGCGGGCGAACGACGTCACAGCCCGGCGACGCTGGCCGTAGAGCTGGCAGAAGTGTTCACGCATGGGAGCCAAGCAAGACGGTTGACGTACGTGCGTCTTCGCGGGCTGCTGGAGGCCCACCTGTCGTTCGAAGAAGCGCAGACGTTGTTCAGCGAATCCATCGACAACCAACGCGTGCGGGTGCTGCGCCTTGCCAGTCTGGTCGAAACCCTCATCATCAAGCATCACCTCGACACCGCGGACGCCGACACCCTTCGCGTCATTTCCCAGGTTGGTTTTTTCCATCTCCACTTGCCGCTCACTTCAACATGTAGGACGTCACCGGCTACGCCACGCCCACGCTGCTCCATCACGCCATGTTCACCAAGAACATAGCCAGCATCTTCACGCCCGAGCAACAGGCAGCATGGGGCATGTCCATCGACTCGTTCCAGTGGCTCGGGTGCTATGCCCAGACCGAGCTCGGCCACGGCTCCAACCTCCGCTCCCTTGAGACCACCGCGACGTTCGTCCCCGAGCTCGATATGTTTGAGCTCCACTCGCCGACCCTCACGTCCATCAAGTACTGGCCTGGCGCACTAGCCAGTACCGCCAACATAGCCGTCGTGTACGCGAGACTTCTGATCCGCGGGAAGGACTTCGGCGTCCACAGCTTCCTCGTACAGTTGCGCGAGTTTGCCACACACAAGCCCCTTCCAGGCATCACCGTCGGGCACATTGGAAGTATGAAACACAGCATATTCACCAGTCAGTCGACTCACCATTTTCAATTGTTGGATGCTCGCATTATGTATTAGGGATTTTGCATGTGTTATTAGAGATTTTGCATGTGTTATTAGGGATTTTGCATTTGTTTTGCGTATTCTTTGGATGTTTTGGACAATTTTTTGTCAACTTTTTGTGTGGAGCTGGTTTGGATATCTATTTTTGAGTGGAAAGTGCTTCGTTTTTTTAACATTTCTTGCCCCAAATATATATATATATACTTATATATATATTGTGGTGTGTTGTACTCAAAATGTCCTCCCGAGGTTGGTAGATCAGCCGCCAAACAACCACTGGACCTTTGAAATATAATACAAAACTAACCTGAAGAGGTATGGTTGTGATTACATTATTTATTCTTTCTTTTTTAGCCAATCATAACGCAATCTTCCTTGTTGTTAGCCAATCATACTGGTCAGCTCGATTTCTTGGCGATTGGTTTTATCAGCAATCCCCGAAAATGGGCAAATGTTTTGGGTGAAAAGCACAATTTTGATGTATATAAATATATATACATATATATTCCCAACGTATAGCTAGCTAGTATACCACCAGTATATCGTATATCATTTCCGCTGTGGTAGACAAGCTGGCGTTCAATACCGTGGACAACGGGTACTTGAAAATGAACCACGTGCGCATTCCACGCCTCCATATGGCCATGAAGTTCGCGACGGTGGCCCGCGATGGCACGTTCTCTAGGTATTTACTCAAAATTGCGACGCATTTGCGTCGACTCAAATATAATTTGCGACTATTTTGCACCTAATTCAACAACAGAGTCGACGGTGCAAAGCGAGAGATGTCGTACTTTACGATGCTCCAAATGCGCTTTCACATGATGCACGGCAGTGCCAAAGCCCTGTCCAAAGCTGTCACCATCGCGGTGAGATATTCAGCCATCCGGTTACAAGGACTCGACGGGTCGGCCCCTCGACGCGAAGTGCACGTACGTGTATAAGACGATTCAGATTATGTGTATGCCACGCTGTGCTGCACCTATATATATATATATGGGTTTTACCTATGGACAGTATGTCTATGATTGACAAGTTATGCTGCACCTGTCTCAATTTTGCTTCTCTTTGATGGCCGGCCTGCTACACCTAGATTCGTTTACATATATATGTTTTTCTATGGATGTGTATGTATAGGTGCTGGACTACCAGTCGCAACAACACCGGGTGCTCCCGCGGATCGCGGAAAGCTTTGCGATCTTCGCGACGAGTGCGTACTACTCGTCAATGCTAAATCGTCGTTTCGTATAACTGACTGGATGTTTGTATGGGTGCAGGCCAAGTGTACTCAACCTTCTGCACCCAAGCCACGACCATGGTCGACCAGGGCGAATCTATCGACGCCACGACGCTGGCCATGGCGCACGCCGTCAGCTGTGCGCTAAAGGTCGTGTGCAGTGAACTGTGCACCCGCGGTATTGAAATCTGTCGACGCGTAAGATGATATATATATATATGTAATATATATATATATTTGAATCGGAACGAAGAATATTATATTTATCGGATCCAATATGAGTAGGCGTGTGGGGGCCACGGGTACTTGCAATCGAGTGGTACGTGTCAGTGTCTGGAATCAGATGGTAGTGTTTCTGAGTCCTGAGTCAAGTCGTCTGATTCCGCACCATGCCGAATCTGATTCGTGGTTAGGGTTGCCGGTACGACACACTTCACCCTTTGATAATTTATTTATTTAATTGGTCATCCTCCTTTTGGGATTATAGGAATTGGGAGGATTTGCCGCCCAGTTTGTCACGGCCGAAGGCGAGAATTACGTGATTTCGCAGCAAGTACAGTCATTTTTTTCCTACATATTTATATATATATATATATTATTCTATAGCATGATATATATATATATAGACCACGCGCACGCTATTGAAGCTCGTACGTGGGTATCGCCTGGGCGCGGCCTTGCCCCCAGCCCTCCAAGTACGTCCTCTTCTTCGACCTTCTTATTTAAGCTTCATTTAAACCAAAATAGATATTTCAAAGCCTCGACCAAGGCGTGCCACCGACCTTGACATCTTCCGATTACGACCAGCTGTTCCAAGTCCGGTTTCTGGTGCTACTCAAGCAATTCGAAGACATGGCGGCGTTGTATCCTTCGCTGGACGACGCCATCCACGCCAATTTGATCGAATCACATCACTTGGCACTGGTATGTTGGTGATCATCATCTATTTGTCCTCTATCATCTATTCTTGACACCTCATTTATCTTGATCGTGGTGCATTTGCAGCAACCCAGCTAGAATTATCTATTATTTATTTAAACGTAAATGACGGCGTTTCGAAAGAATCAAGAATGATCCATTATCATCTATCATCTATCTGCCCTCGCATCGAAAGAAACGACTACCTATTATTATTCATTCAGCGCCTAGTTTCATCTAATATATATATAGATGAATATATATTGTTGTTTGTTTCAATAATAGTTGATCCTTTTGTTTAATAATCCATTGATATATATAAATATGTATATATATATGTACTGTAGTGCTATGGCAAGTACGTCCTCGTGCACGAATTCTCGGCCCATCTCACCAGCCTGTCTCCATCTACCAAATCCATCACAACATCCCTATTTGACCTGTTTTGCGTGACCCAACTCCAAGAGGACTTGGCCGATTTCATTGGCTTGGTCAACTTGCCAGCTTCCGTTCGTGGAAGCCTCCATGATCGGCTGGTCGCGCTGCTGGCTGCCGTCCGCCCGCACGCGGTGGCCCTTGTGGACTCCTTTGACCACTCCGACATCAGCCTCAACTCGACCCTCGGCCGCGCACATGGTCAAGTGTACGAGTCGCTCATGCAGTCCAGCCTTCTCTACGCTAAGGACGACGCCATTCCCGGGTTTACAGACTACCTCCAGCCCCTCCGTCGCCTACACGAGTCCAGGTTGTAAGTGGTGCCGCCGATCGCTGGTAAAGAGCCACACAGCGGCAAGGATGTGACACAGTGAAACGTTGGTTGTACTCTCCAGTGCTAGGACCAGGATAACGTTCATGGATGTGTATAATATACATGTAATATATATATATATACTCATACAACCAGCCTACATGTGGTGTGACCGCAACTTTGGGTTTGATATCGTTGGATTTTAATATTTTAATACTTCAAAAAAATTATCTTTTTAGAGCATTGAGTGCTTCCAGAAACTGTAGATACATATATATACAGTAGTATATACTAGTAATACTGTATATGATAAACACGGTGACTTGCTTGGTGGTGCTCGAGTTGACGACGAGAAATGGCAAGTAAACCAAGGCAACAGATCATTTAGATTATTGTATGCCGATGTATTAGCCGAGATGAATGGGCACAGAGTGGAGAATTGGTTCGCTAGTTGTGAAATATCACTGGATGTATATGCAGTAAGTAGTAAAGCGATACCATCAAATGCAATGGACATTCGACACACACATAACTAGGCGTCGTCGTCGGATTCATAACGACACTTGGCCCAAGCATCAACCAGTCCTGCCAATTCTTGGTGACATGGAGAAACTAAGCCGGGGGTTGATACGCAGCAAGGGAGGTTGTTGACTGTGACAAGGTTTGAATCGTATTGATATAGCGATATGAAAGGTGTTGTACAGTACACATTGCACGCATAAACTGGTCAAAATGGCTGCACAATATCTCACGCTAAACCAAACTCACTCGATTACCACCTGACCGCACTTGGCTCCATGCGCATATATCCCACGGTTCTTGAGTCTAGTAACTAGGTCATTTCCTTGGAAACGAAGAGCTTACCCAGCCACTTGCCGTTTCGATCATCAGGTGCAAATCCATCCCTTTCAATTGCGAAGGTTTCTGGAGCTTCATCATTCATACCCTTGATGCCACTCACAATCTGATGCTCGTCAAGGTCGACACGACAGAGCGCCCCTCCTCCGACAAGGCACACCATCATTTCTATTTCTGCGACACTGTTAGTAGTGTGGTACTGACAGAATTGTCATGGCCAACTGTTATTCTTTTTCTTGCTTCGTGCCGTTCTGTACATACCAATCGACTGTGCTCCCTCGCATTTCCCAGGCCAAACAAGCCACGACGCCTCCCTCGACGCAAACGGATGGTTCGATTTCGTACTGTACAGTACACCCGCAACCGCCAGTACTACCACGGCGCATGTAGTCAAATGCCAGCAACAAGCGGCAGCGGAGACGAGGCTAGTCGACCCCCAGCCCCCCCTCGCCCCCCCCTCCCCCTGTCATTCTCCTCCCCACAGCTCCAAGCAAATCGCCGTGTACCAATAAATACCCTGCCTTGAATTGGGTTTGAAATTCGTGAATGCACAACGACATCGTCGACACCCCCGACGACACGACAAATCCTCGACGGAAAATGCGATTGCACCGGGGAAACGTGGTGCAATAACGAACGACGATCCATATTGCGAACAGACGACACAGGTTGTATGGATAATAGTGTTGATGGATTTGCACGCCCACAAAAACCACCGGCCTAACGCATTTGGTGCGACGCTGCACCTAATGTTTGGTACAGGCATGTATCTATTTGTATTATGGTAATGTTAGTTGAGACGTCCGAATTGCGTCACACATACGGCACATAGGCCATAACGTTAAGTGGCGCTTTCTCGTTTTAGCTTGTTGGCTCTGGCTGCACGTAGGTAGTACTCTATTTGTAGCCGCCTCGTTGTTGGCTTCATGTTGGCACACATGCGATCGTGGGCGTGGTCGACTCAAAGCGCAGCACTCGAATAATAATGCTGCACCCCGTTGATATAACAGCAACGAACTTCGGATCATATGTACCATCAAAAGTCCTTCCAGTCTATAGAGGCACGGCCACCACGACGTGGGCTCGATTCCCCAGGGGGCAGTCCAAGGCAGCGTTGTTCGCACTTTGGGTCAAGTCCATGCGTGCAGCCATCATATGTGGACAATGAATGACGTTCGGAACGCGGCGGCTGTCGCCCTTGAGCATCATTCGTGCCGCACTGCAGCTGTTCTTTGCGAAGGTCTCAGTGCATCCAACCAGGCGGTGGGGTTGCTAACGTTAAGGAAAAGCTAGAGGTCGGCACGAATGGGGTGGTTGGTACTGTAGCCCGCGTGATGCTTGATGCACCCCTCGAACCAGGCGGCCATCGCCGATTGCAAGTAGCTTGGAGCTGCAATCGTCGGCAATCACACACATCTTTGCAACTCCGTCCTTGGCTAGACAGTGTCGCAATGAAAAATGAAATTCTGTCCCGTTGGTGAATACAAATATTCACAAGAGGTTGGTCGGTTCAACATTAACGTTTCGAGGTTCGGCCACGACGTCACACATTTAACCTGCCGAACGTTTGGAATGCCTCTTAGCCAATGGCCTTATGTTGCTTGATAATACTACACCATTTTTCAATTGACTTGGACATTTTCTCGATGGATTCGGACAGGTCACTATTGGATTTAGTGACGTGCCCATTCGAATGAATGAGTGCCCAATGGATTTGGTACCCATGTTCGCTGTGCCCATTGGATTTGGCACGGCCCCCTCGTGTGCCCATTCGATATGCCCATGCGCCTTATAGAATTGGTTTGTACCCAACCAAACAACCTTTAGATCATTCGAAAGTGTCATCCTTTGGATGATTTATTGAATTCATTTTTGAGTTTTCCTAATTGAATGCAAGCACGACACTTTTGAAGGATCTAAAGGTTGTTTGGTTGGGTACAAACCAATTCTATAAGGCGCATGGGCATATCGAATGGGCACACGAGGGGGTCGTGCCAAATCCAATGGGCACACGAGGGGGTCGTGCCAAATCCAATGGGCACACCGAACGTGGGTACCAAATCCATTGGGCACTCATTCATTCGAATGGGCACACCACTCAATCCAATGGTATATCAACCGAATCCATCGAGAAAATGTCCAAGTCAATTGAAAAATGGTGTAGTAAGTATACTAGTAAGTATTATCTTACTGCTACGACCTTTTGCACGCCAAGAATTGGAGGTAGAGTTGATGCTTTGACGCAGCGTCCATCCGATGCAGTAAAAACAAAAACAATATTTCGCCATTGGCGCGAAGTGTCGGGTCTCTTATTTCGTCCAACTATCGGGCGCACTCGTACATCTAATGCGTCGTCCGTTCGCAATGTGAATCGTTCGTTCATTCGTTATGACACCACACATTGACAATCAGCCATGTTTTCGTTTCTGTCGTCCGGTTTTGGCCCTCGAAACGTCAAGAGGAGGGGCCGAGGCAGTCGGGCGAGGTCCGCCTGGGTCTGTCTGAACCCCGCGTGCACCGCGTCCATACCATTGATCGCGATGAGGATGTCGCCCTCGTGGATGTGCTTTCGTCCGGCGAGGGGGTTGGACACTGTCGATAACATCACCGACACGACCGTGAGCACGGTGGATTGGTCACCATGGGACTTTGAACCGACTCGCACCCGTCGAAAGGCCACGCCAAGCGACTCGCCGTCGCACCACCGCACCGTGTAACTTTGCAAGTGGGAACTTGTGAACTGCAGCACCTGTGGAAGGCGACGACGGTGGGGATGATGGTCGTCGCCTTGAGGGGGACCTGCTACAGCTGCTTGGATGTCTACAAAGGGGACGACTCGGACGTTGTTGACTGCTGTGAGGACATCCCCCCGGTGGAGTCGCATCGTCCGTCGAGGTTTGGTCGAGTCATGGGGGATGTCGACGATGGCCGTTGGGCACTCGAGCCACGCCACGGGTACATGCGACGTCCAAAACACAAGTTTCAACGACAACAAGGCGGGACTTTGGTTGGTCCACGGCGATAAACTCTTGGAGCTGTGCGAGGGGGAATGGCGGGGAGTGGGAGTAGGACGAGGCGGTTTGTCCGCTGCTGTCTGCTGGGGCTGCCGTTGGACGACGCGCGCCGTGGTGGGTGCGGCTGCAGGGGTGCGAAATCGACCCTCCAGTTTACGTCGAGGATGGTGTCGCGGCATGTTTGGTGTGGAAAACGCGTGGCTGGCGCGGAGGGCACAGTCGATCCACACAAGTTTGTCCATTCGAGGCCCGTAGTTTGAACCAGTGGGGGGAAGAACCTCCTCGTCTTCTTCCACTTGAAACGCGACGCCCCACGCCAGACAAGACGTGCGAGGCCGTTCGCGGTCCTTATGATGGCTCGCCAGCACTTGATGCTCTGCCAACGCAAACAGCTGCGTCTTTTTCGGCATTTTCGAGGCGCTGGTTCGCGCGCGTCGACGTGCCGCCGCCTTGGCTTGGTCTTCCACCGCCATCTTAGCCAAACTGAAACACGATTACAATCGACATGCCTTTTACGGTCAATGCACTGGCTTCGAAAAAACCAACCACACTCTGGTGGGGACAACCAACCCTATCATGGCTTGTATTATATTTATTCATACAAAGAGCAGCACATAGCCCCCGACTGGTCGCTCTCCTGCTACTCCCAGTTAACTGGTAGTCTCGCGTTTTGGGCTATACTGGTGCCCGTATAAGAATTTGATCTCGACAACCTTTGCCCAATGGTCGCGACGATTTTTTCCATTTTATCTGAATCTTTCATACAAGTGCAAGGTATTACTGTATTATTCACAGTTGATTTTAATATTCACAGTTGATTTTAACCCATCGTGCCAAATCTCTAGTAACTAGACTTGTCTAGCCAGCTCGTTTCAACCGGCGGACGTTGGCCAAATCGTCTGCTAGTTGGGCGTTGGGCGGGTCCAAGCTCAGCGCGTCCATGTAATCTTGTTCGGCTTTGGCGTAGTCTTTCTCCATCGTGAACGCCGCACCGCGACGGACGAGGGTCTTGAGCACCCATAGCCGCCGCTTGGCTGACCCGGGGGCTGGAATGGCCGAGTACGGCACCATCGTCGGACTCAACGTGTCCTATGAGAATGTTGAATTCGTCAAGGTATGAATATATATATATATATATATTAGGAGCTAGGTAAAAAAAACACTAACTCGTACCTCCAGAATGGCAAGTGCAACCGAACAGTCGGCAATACATGCCTTGGCATCCAGCAGTGCCAACGAGCACGCCGCCCGATTCGATAAGCAGCTACACACATTCCCATGTGAATAAAAAGCCAAATTGATAGCCTTTTTTATAATGGATACACACAACATACGAAATAAAGGTCGGGTCCACGTGCAGGGCTTCGGTGTACATAGCTTTGGCCGTCACAAAGTCTTGGCTTGCGTAGCTCGCATCTCCCTTGGATTTCCACACAGCACATGCTTCGAGCTGCCCAATGCGGCCAAAGTCCAGCTGCAATGCTTCATTTTGGGGATGGATGGTTAGAGCGACGCCGTAATCGGCCTTGGCTTGGCTATAAAACCCCGGGAAATTGAATTTAAAATGGTTTTAAAATAGTGTTCATTGTACCTGTACAACCCGAGCTGGCAGTACGCGGTGCCGCGGCGGACGAGCACGCGCACTTTTAACTGGACCGTTTGCATCGACGGGGTGTCTCCAATATCTGGAAGCAACGCCAGGGCTTTCGAACAGTCGTCCGCACACAACTACATTCGAATTTCAAGACCATCATTTCAGTTACATGTATTCATATCAAAGGGGCTGATGGCATTTGGCAACTTTGTGACCTATTGACGTCTGGTAAAAGTAGTTTGAATACACCGACCTGATACTCGCCGACTTGCAAAAAGCACGCGGCGCGATTCGACAAACATCTACAAGTCCCACGTGTGTGAAGTCCATTCTATCAGCCTATACTGTATATATATATATATATTATTGGCGCTATAAGATATCGTACGGTGTAAGCGAAGGGTCGATGGCGAGAGCGTCGCCGTAGGCGTTGATGGCACTGCGAAAGTCTTTGTGTCGGTAGAAATCATCGCCTTTTGCTTTGAGCCACACGGCTAATAGTCCAATAAAAAGATCCAAAGTCAATAGATAATTGGTTCACACTCAACATTTCCATCAAATCAATCCGAATGGTGCCATATATCATGTCGATTTTCTTCAAATGTCCCCATTTTCCATGGTTCGTTCAATCGAGCACAAATAGAGCCGAGACATCTGATTGGATAATATCCACTTGGCCCTTTCCAACAGAAATCCAAATTGATATTGTAGCCAATCAGCGACAAATAATTTCGGATTGACCAATGGGAGAGGAGAGATTAGTGCCTGGTTCGCGAGATTCGATTCAACGGGGCCCGGAATTCGTATCGAATCTCCAATATATATACGTATAATATATATATATATATAATCGCGTTGTAGAGTGCTTACGATCTGTTTCGCTAATGTCTTGCGCAGCGGTCGCGGCGGCAGCATGCAGTCCCTTGTGACTTTTCAAGTGCTTTCGGTTCTTCACAAGCCAATTCTCTTCGTCCACTACATCATCCATATTAAAACACATATGAAAGTATTCACCCCAGCATCGCATTGCAATTTGGCATATTTGCCAAATTCAATGAAAGAGATCAAAATAGCAGTAGCAGTCGTCTACCAGCAGTGGATTCACGGCTAGGCGTGGGAAAGACACGGGGCGTAAACACGATTCTGCTCGCCGTGACTTGTTGTCGTGGTGGGGGCCACTGCGTCACATCCTCGTCTTCCCCGTCGTCGTCGCCGTTTTCGATGGGCGTCTCGAGGATCGGGCTGTTGTTGTTGCTGTAGTCGTCAGACTCCGTGTCAGACGACGTGCCCCAGTCTTGTTCTTCTTCTCGCGGGGGGGGCGAAGGGACGACGATCGAACGCCTGGGAATGTCAAACTCGCCCTCTGGCGTCATTTCTAAAATCGGCGGCTCCACGGCTATTGGCGTGGAGCTGCGACGTTTAGTCGATTGGGTTGATGGTGGATGTTGCAAGTCGCGGAAGGTGCGATACATGGCGTCCTGATGGGCCAATTGAGGATGAGACAAAATGGATGGTCAGGAGAAGAAGAGGACCTCTTCGCGCTGTTTTTCGGTGGCTTTGAGGTCGTCCAGCCGCTGCCTTTCGAGTTCGTCCAGTGACATCTAAACTGGAGGTTGAGCTATGTAGTTGAAAGTGGTAGTTAGTCTACTTGGTCTCGCAACGTCTGTTTCTCGTTGCGGTACTTGAGGTCCTTCCGCGCTTCGCTTAGCTACACATGTGATTGTATACATCATCATCACGACGAGTTGTTGTTGTGGTGGGGTCTCAATGGCAGACAAGATACCTTTTGCTCGTAGGCTTCTTTGCGAGCCATGGACGCCTTGCGCCGCGCAAGACAGTCGGCTTTGGTCCCGTCGAATCCCAACTGCTTCCACACCCGGCGCTCGTGCTACATGCCCACAGCACTTTTCACCGTCGCAATGTTCGCCATGCATTATACCTTTTGCGCGACCAACACCACCACGCCGTTGGTAATCGTGACGGTCGTGTTCTCTGGCTCGACAGCAGCATGCAAGTCCACGAGCAACACATACGGCTTGAAGTTTACTTTGACGACCAGGTCCGCCACTACCACCGTAACGTGAGCAAAACATCATGCAAAGATATCTCTACTACGTACCGTAGATGTCGACATCCTTACGACTCGCGCCTTTGAGCGGCACACGCAGCGCAATGGACGACACGTCTTCTTCCCATGTGAATTGCGGCGTCAGCGGCATGCCAGCGGCGTGGAAATGGCAAATGTGTGCCTCTTGACAAAAGATTGTGGTGTCGTTGCTTCAGGACCGCTTTTGATTGGCTGATCAAGGTGGGACATTCGAATTTCGACGATTATGTTCGACGTGGGTAAATGAAAAACGCACACGTTAAACCTTGGATCTGTTGCAAAAGTCGGCGAGGTTAAACGTTAAAACGCATTTTGAATTATGCGTTTAATACAAGTCGGACGACAAATATTTACGTTTTGCCACTCTTATTGAAATATGTTTTAACGGGCTCTCCAACAACCACGCATTCCACGAGTTGAATAAAAATATCTTGCTATTTGTATACTGTGGCTCGAAATAATAGTCCAAGCAATATAATTTGCCGCGTTCTGCCACAATCGTTTAACGCAAGCATCAACATGGAGGTTCTAGCGGACATCTCTGATCTTCTCGTGGACGCGCTGCCGCCACCGACGCCTGCAGCAGATGCTGCCGCGCCATTAGGGTTCTTGGACGACTTGATGCCAAGCGACGTGAACGATTTACCGCCTCCTGAATATGCACAAGACGAACAGGTTGAAATTGACGACGAGGACGACGACGACGGGGTTGAACGCGTCGCGGAGCCGCCGTACATACCAGAAATCGCACAGTGGAGCTCGGACGACGACTTCGAGGAAGTCGAGGAAGAGGAGACCAAGAGCAAGAATTCGAAAGGCCGCAAGAAGCGACGGATTGCCGAGATCATCGACGAAGAGGACCTCGAACAAGACACGATTTTGGCGCGAAACGAGGAACAAGCACGCGCGAAACTGTTCAAGGCCGACGAGACACCCACGAGCTTTGGACGGACAGAGGATGGACGAGTGTGCTTGAACCCACTCCCGGACGGCACGATTCCAACGGGGGCCGTCGGCGCCGCGGACGCGCCAGTCTTGGTCGACGACTATATCTCGTCCAAACTCAAACCGCATCAAGTCAAGGGCATTCGATTCCTGTGGAGCCACATCTCTTCCGGTCCCAAGGTATACATGTCCTTTCTCGCGTCTCTCAACCAACATGCTTTACTATGATCCAGGGCTTTGGGTGCATTTTGGCCGACTTTATGGGCCTCGGCAAGACGCTGCAAGTGATCACGACCGTCCATTCGTTCCTGAACGTCATGACCGTGTACGACGACGACACGTCGTCCGAGTACGCCAAGTACAACACGGCGCTCATCCTTGCGCCGGCGATCTGCGTGCGCAACTGGGAGTCCGAGTTCACCAAGTGGCTGAGTGCGCGCCAACTCGCGCGTCTTCAGCTCACGACCCTCGAAGCCGACAAGTCCATCTCCGAGCGACTGAATGCCATTCTGTCATGGCATAACCTCGGCGGGTACAATCCTCTTCCCCAGATCTAACTTTGTCTACTTGTCTATGATAAGCTGTCGATTGGTATATTTATTTGTATTATTTGTATCCAATGTATATGCAGATGGATTTAGCCAATCAGATTGCAGGAAATTATCGGCAAATTAGTGTGTGACTTCAATTAGTGTGATGCCAATCGCCACAGGACACCTTTTTCGATACAAAATTCAGTACAAAAAATCGATATCGATACTAAATTTCAGCACAAAAGTCAGCCAAATTTTGGGTAAAAGGACAAAATATATCTAGCTAGATGGAATATAATTGTGTTTTTCTTTAAATATAGTTGGGGGTGTATTTCTTTCGACTGTATTTTAATATGAAAAACCTGCAAAAGTGTCTTGTGTTGTCTATTATCTGACGTGGTTTGCGATGATCGTTTCTGCTTGACGTTATTGTATTACGTTTCATGAGAGCCCTATATATACCCGAGTGGACTCAAGAGTCAAAGAATCCATATTATATTGTTCACATATCTCACAGAACCAGGAGATATGTTTGTAAAAATCTCGTGGATTTTTTATATTTTATATTCAACCTTCTATTTCACTTGTTTTACATCGAAACATGGGGTATATGTTGTATATACATAGAAGTCTTGATTTTTGGTTGTAGGGTCATGGTAATGGGGTACGAAATGTATCGCAACATTGTGCTGCAAGCCACGGGAGTAGAAAAAATGCGCGGGAAGACTACGGCCGACCTCCAGCGCCGCATGAAAGATGCGCTCGCGTGTCTGTGTGCCCCTGGCCCCGACCTCATCGTGCTGGACGAAGGCCATCGCATCCGAGACGCCAAATCCAAGCTCGTGAAAGCTCTGTCGCATGTACGTTCCCATATAAAAATATATCACAAAGAAAACGATCAAAAATCGATTAAAAAAATCATCCAAAACCATCAAATTGGATATAAAAACACGACCCCAAACGCCAAAATAATGGTTTAATGGGGTCCTGTTTCTGGATATATATATATATATTTATAGTACTTCCTGTACATTCCATATATTGTGGTATATTCGATACGAATTTCCAGTCCCCGTCGAATCGAATGTATCTCACCGGCGAATCACGAATCATCGACGCTATGATTGGCTAATCCATTTTTGAGTTGATTTGATTGGCTCGAAAGGACAAGTATATTCAACCAATCACAACTCCGGCGTGATTCAATATTGATTCGACAAACCACGCGAAGAAGTTTGGAAGTTTATTTCACAATATATATATATTCCTGGACATATACCATCGATATATCTGATGCATTTGGACGTTGCAAGATCATTCGAATGTCGATGATAACATATATCATGTGGGATATTAGGTTGAAACAAGGCGACGCATCATCTTGACGGGGTATCCCATCCAAAACCACATGAAGGAGTACTGGACCATGGTCAACTTTGCGCGGCCCAACTACCTCGGCACACTGCAAGAGTTCAAGAACCGATTCGTGGACCCAATCGAGAACGGCCAGTTCGAAGACTCTTCAGACGTGGACATTGTCCTCTCCCGTAAACGCACGTTCATTCTGACCAAGGAACTGTCGACGTTGGTGCTGCGGCGGGATGCTGGGTATCTCCACCGCCAGCTGCCAGCCAAGCACGAGTTTGTCCTACTGTGTAAGCTATCGCCATTGCAGGTATGTACATATATATATAGACATATGACTGCCTTGTGGTTTGAACCTCCTAAAGGTTGTTGGGCACATGAATGCACAGAGTCATGTTATATTTATATATATATATTTATATATATGTAAGAGAGATCGTTGTTGTTGGTATTATTATTTATTATTATTTATTATTTATTTATTTATTTATATATATATATGTGTATTAATATTAATATTATTATTATTATTTATTATTATTTATTATTTATTTCAAGGTTGGCGACGAGACAGAACGAATAAGAGAGAGACTGGACGATTCTCGTTGGGTTTCGATTATATAATTCTGCTTTGGTAGATATATATTAAAGTGTGCTGGCTTCGTTCTGGGTTGTTACTAGTATACGCATCGTCTGATATTTTTTTCAAGTTGGGTTTTTTATTGTTATCTGCCAGAACGTGACGAGTGAATAAGTGGTTGGTTCTATGGAGCGTAGGTTCGCATTTACAAGGCATTTCTCCGGGATGGCGTGCCCCGTAATCCGTCGAGTGGCAAGATTGATGTGCTGGGCGGGTACCACATTTCGCTGGCGATTGTAAACCATCCAGATGTGCTGTACAATGCACTCCCGGGCAAAGACGACGCGCCTCCACCGCCGCCGCCCCCCGCCGCACTCACAGCACCCGAAGATGTACGTTGAAAGAGGCTTCGAAAGTATATATATACACACTTTCATATATATATATATGTGTCCGATCGTTTTGGACAAGTGGATCTTTCCTGCTAGGACGTGATATGTGTAATATACCCGTTGGAATTCATATATATATATATATATACTTGTGATGTATGCGTCGTGGAATGTGTACATGGATCTGTATATATATATGTTGATAGCTCGCACAATCGTATGCATGGGAATATATATATATATATTGTGGTTGATTTCAGTCGCAAGCTGGAACGTCGTTCAGTCCATATGTTGGCTATATGTGTCTTTTTACTTCAAACGATCAGCCTTGCTCAAATATTGTCATTGATTATTCTTTGACCATGTCTTCACTCGACAAAATCCTTTTGAATATATATATATATATATTCCTGACGCGTTTCTTTTTTGTATATATTAAATAATAGGTGGACAGCGACATTGAAGCCGTGGAGGCCGTGGTACGCACGATGGGCCACCGGTTGAGTTTTGCCGAGCCTTTGTTTGGACCCGACTACTCGAAAGGTAATAATATAGCTTTATATTTGTTGTATTCTTTCTATTTTTCATGTGTGTTTGAATAGGGATTGTCGAGCACAGTGGCAAGATGGTGCTGCTGCTGCACATTTTGCGCGAATGCCGCCGTATTGGGGATCGGATCACAGTGTTTTCGCAGAGCATTCCCACGCTAAATGCGATCCAGACCATGCTGGACGTGTACAACGAGACCAAAAAAGAGTACGAGCGCATCAACGCCCTCCGCATCGACGGCAGCACGCCGCAGGCCCTGCGGTTCACGCGCATCGCCCAGTTCAATGACCCCGACGAAGAAGTCGACGTCATTCTCATCTCGACGCGCGCGGGCGGTGAAGGTCAGTACGTCGTCGTCTCTAGTGTTTTATATGGCTATTGTCCCATACCTTGTTGGATGTTTCATGTGTTTGGTATCTTTTGAATATATATATATATGTATTGTGGATTCGAATTTATAGACCTCGTGAATCACGAAGCATCGACGCTTTGATTGGCTAATTTTAAGTGGATTTGATTTGCTATTACAGAAAGGACAAAAATAGTCAGCCAATCAGAACGTCCAGAGTGATTCAATTTTGATGAGACAAACCTTGCGAATTTTGGATGTTTATAGCGAATTTGCAATATATATATATATATAATGATGGCGTAGGCGTGAATTTGTGCGGGGGTAACCGCGTGGTGATTTTCGACGTGTGCTGGAACCCGTGTCATGATGCGCAGTCCATGTGTCGATCGTACCGATTTGGCCAAGCAAAGCCCGTGTACGTGTACCGAATCATTTCTGCCGGCACGATGGAGAAAAAGGTATGGGGGTACTAAGTAAGACAAGAGATATTGGTGGCCATTTGGCAGACTATCTGATGGTTTCGTGGCCATTTGGCAGACTTTTCTGATGGTTTCGTGGCCATTTGGCAGACTATCATTGGGGGGTACACGTTTTGTAGACGCTTGGGGTATTTTTTAGGTTATATATTGTGCATTTCACCCAATTTGGACTTTTGTGAGTGATACAAATAGCATTCGAATCCATTTGATCCTATTTAATCGTGTACACACTATACTATACAACGAGTAGTATACATGTGGTTATTTGGGGTTAAACGTTTGGATTGGCAGAATATATTCGACATGACGTGATTTGATTGGTTCAGGCGGTTCTTGAATCGATTCGCCAAACACATTCGATGATTCTGCTGACGGCTCCCAGTTTCGAATCGATTTGGCAATATAATTGTTGGTGAACTGTACCTGATATCTTTTTAAGCCTATTATATCATTTTAAGACCATTTGGAGACGAATGGCGTGTTGCGGCCGTTATGTGAATATTAATTCTCTAAAAGGGATGTCATTTTAAAAATCTATTTTTATATATTGATAAAAATAAAAATAAGAAAATTAGGTGTGACGTCAAGGGTCAATAATAATTCTCTAAAAGGGATGTCATTATGTAATATCTATTTTTATATATTGATAAAAATAAGAAAATTATGTGTGATGTCAAGGGTCATATGTGACAATGTGGCGGTATAGAAATGTTTTTCGAGTGCCCTTTTATAAACCATGGGACTGTTCTGATTGGAGTATGTGTTTTGGGTTTCCTTTTCCGAGAGGGCAATATATATATATATATATATGATCGACGGGCCGGCTTGCTTGCTATATATATATATATATGGGATTGAATGGACACGTAAACAAGATTGGTTGATGGAAATATATAGGTGTACGACTTGCAAGTAAAGAAAGAAGGCGTGAGTAAACGGGTGGTGGACAACACGGCACTCGAACGCAAGTTTCAAAAGCTGGACGTAAAAAAGTACTTTGACATTCACGACTTTAAGGACGCGCAGACCAAGTTACTCAAACACGACAACAACAACAGTACTACTAGTATTACTAGTAGTAGTAGTACTAGCCACTCGTCTCAACCAACCACCGACCAAGTGCTCAACAGTGTTTTGGCCACGCGGTCTACGTTTCTGGTACAGTATATATATATATAACGGATGTAGTTTTGCTATTTAAATATTATTATTTTTTAATATCCTTGAAATATATATATTTAAATCGTCGAGTAGGCCGAATGGTTTGAACAAGAAAGTATGTTTGAAGAGAATATGGACGAGCGGTGCTCGGCACTAGAACAAGAAGAAGCTTGGAAGGAAAATGAGATTTCCAAGGCGGCTCGGGGCATTCGATACTATCAAGTGGACAGCGCTGCATCCATCAAGCGCGTGATCTGCACCCAGTGCAACCAGTCCAACCCTGTCACAGACGTCGATTTGGAGGTATATTTTTTATATAATTCTTGATATCAAGTTTTTTGTGTGCGTCTTGTATATATTATCTTGTTTGCTGGAATTTGAATCGATTCGAGTGTCAGGTGGGGAGCTTCTTGAATGTATATATCTATGACATATACACATTTCAAGATGTGGAGCTTCTTCGGGGCCAGGCTGATCGATGATTGGCTGAAATGTATCCATATTGTGCCAATTGATTGGCTAGGACATTCTATAGTATAAATTCCCACATAGCAGTGTTTGTTGAATCTAGATCACTAACTACCTCACGTCGATATTGTGTGGCTGTAGAATTTGAGCTTGGAGTGCTCCGAGTGCGACACAACACTGGACCTCACAGACCCTGACCGTATCGTAACAGTGAGCACCAAGAACCATCCTGAAGTAGCGCAAATGCAGTACTTGCACCAGCTCCAACAGCGCCAACGGGAGCTGGCCATGGCCGCCCACCAAGGGACCCCCCTACAACCTCAAGCCCCATCCTATGCGCAACAACTGGAGGCGCTCATGACTCGGCCGCTTCCGTCGTCGTTGAGCAACCTCGTGGCCGCCGCGGCCGCTGCTCCATACCCTCCACGTACGTGCCTCTACTAGTCTTTTGAGTGTATTTCGTAAACAGGTTTGAATTTTGAATCGTTTTCTGTGGCTACCGTCGAGATTTTCAAAATAAAAATAAAAAAAAAATGTTATTTAATAAATGAAATACAATAAATTTCAATAAATTTTGCTTCTCACATATGTGTATTGTTGTATGTAGGGGGCCACCCACACCCCAACCCAGCCTATCCTGCCGTGATTTCATTAGCAGGTATATACAGATATATACAATTATATATATTTATAATAGTAGAGTTTCTCGAGTGGTTTGACCTGTGTGTTTTGGCTTGTCGTATCGAATTTTTTATATATATATACATATACAGTATAGGGGGTTTGACTCGTCAAATATATGTATATACATCGTTTTGGCTTATCATAACGAATATATATATATGTAGTATAGGTGGCTTGACGACTCGTCTGGTTGAATATATATATATATATATTGTGGTGGCATATTCCGACGGCATGTCATGTAGATGATGCAGCGCGTCCGCCGCAACTCCATCGCCGCACTCGCATCCTGTTTCTTCGTCGCGGGTTGGACCGATCGCTTGTGGAAGACTTGCGCACCCGCGCGACCAGGTTGGACGGTGTACACTTTACGGTACAGTTGGACACCCAGACCACGGACCTGGTGACGGGCATGTCGCTGGAGGCGGCACTCGACTGGCTCAAGCTGCCCCACCTGCCGCCCAGCGTGACCTTGCGCCCTGTCGCATGGCTGCAGCACCTCGTCACATCGTCGTCACAGCAGTGGCACATGAACTAGTAATGAGTAGTAAATATATGTATATAAATGGCAATTATGCTAGGGGCTTCATGTTAGAGCTGTAGAACGCATGAGATATTATAATCGATATGGAGTGGGGTAGATAATCGATCGACCAATCAAAACCCAGAACGCTAATAACCAAGTGGCCAATCAAATTCTATCTTTATGCAACCTCGAATTAGTGTATGACTTGTATTTAGCCGTTTTATGACGTGATATTGTGGTGTGTATATTCTAAACTGGAGCGACATAGAACGATACAACCAAATTAATGTGCAGAAGTATTTAGCCAATCCGATTGCAGGAAACCGTCATCAACGTCAAATTAGTGTGATACTTTAATTAGTGTAATAGCAAGGCAAAGAATCGATCGATAGATATTCACCACAAAAGTCCAAATTTTGGGTAAAAGGACGATACAAAAGTCAGTACAAATACAGCGATGATCGGTGGATTTGGTGAATAGCATCCAACTTCGGGCTGATGGGACATTCCATCGGTTTCTTGGTGATCAAGTGAACGGCTTGGTAGATGTGAATGGGTAGTTAGTTATTCCTATATGTGTACTAGGTATTGCTTTCCCGAGTTCATTCATATGTCATGGCCAGCTACAGGATAACCGATATGTAAGGGGTCTGGATGAAGCAGAAGGAACAGTCGTAGTAGTTAGTGTGCAAACTCATACAATTAAGATAACATCACATTCGGCTACGGAGAACTACATGTGTGAAAGCGTCCTCGAGATATCTACACTACATGTGCAGGAGACCAGCGGCTGCGATGCTAAACGCGAGTACAATGGCACCTGCGCTTGTAGGACCTGCAGCTGACGAGGCTTTGGTGGTGACCGGCGGCGTGGGGGTCGGCTTGGGCACAGTGGTGGCTTCGGTGGCGTTGGTGGGGGCCAAACTGGTGGGCGTGTCGGTGGGGACGGGCGACAACGTTTTCGACGGGTCGAAGCTCTGGATCTCCTTGTTGTTGGCGACCAAGAACTCGGTCAACGACAACTTGCCGTACTCTTGGACGTTGCGGCCGAGGAATTCGCACGCGTCCATGCCGGCAAACGCAGTCGCGACGGTGGAATACCACGCATTGCAGCCGGGGTGGGCGCTCACGGCCTTGATCGTGTCGTCTGACGCTGGCGTCGTCTCAAACAGCGAGTTGAAGTCCTTGCCGTTCAACGTAGCGGCGGCACACGTGACGGCATCCGCCGAGTCGTACGTCGGCACGATGGCCAGCGCAATCTGGCTCGAGTCACAAGGGGACAACGCAGCGTGGACACATGCAACGACGGCAGCAACAAGGACGACCAGACAGGTCATGGCGACAGGAATCAGCAAATGGCCCCATTACGTTGGCTCGGCCAATGGCAATGGACCTGACCAGATCCAGTAATTCACAATTTTCAGTAAAACATGAAATTTTGGTTCGTAAATTCGTAAAAAGGTCAATATGGGCGAAATCATGTGGAAATGCTTTGACCAGCAGCTGGCAAGGCGGCCACCCTTGGAGGCTACTGTAAGAAAGTTAACGTTAAGCCATCTACTGGACTGCTTGTACAGAACTCTACTCGACCAACAATTACATCACTAACACGACCAACTAACACATCAGAACCACACAACTCGGTGGAATTAAATGGGGACACCGACATTGTAGTGTGGAAGGCTACGCCGCTAGGGCCATCACGAACGAACAAGGGGTTATAGTAGCGAGGCAACGGCGGTGACAGCTGCTACCGACAACCACGTAGTCAAGGCAAAGGTGGACGCACTCGCAGAGGTCACTTGATGAGTTGTAGGCGTGGCGGGTGGCGTCGAAGTGGTAACTGGCACAGGCGACGTTTCTATCACAGAAGGTGGAGCCAGCGACGTCTCCGGTGGCACTTCGGTCGTGCTTTCTACCGATGCAGCGCCACCCCCTTCGTCGTCGGTTTCAACGGGACTCGTGTCTGCCGGTCGATTCGGGTCAAAGCTTTGGATCTCCTTGTTGTTGGCTTCCAAGAACGCTTGGAGTGGCTGCTTGGAGAAGTCCTGGATCGTTGTACCCAGGTACATGCATGGCTTGAATAAAGCAAACGGCGCCGACAGTTCGGACCACCACGTTTGACAGCTAGGCGTATTCACCATCTTGGCAATGGTGTCGGGGGGAGTCACGCTGGACTCGAAGATGCTGCGGATGGACTTGCCGCCCAACGCTTCGGCGCCGCAAGCATCCGCCGCAGGTGTGGTCATGAACGGGACAGACGTGACTGCAATCTTGCCAGAGTCGCATCGCTTTAGAGTGGATTGGCCAGATGCCTCGCCACAGAGGGCGACCACAACGACGAGGACGGATGTCGGAGCAAGCATGTCGAGAAATGATCAGGTCGACTTTCTTCGTACCACATGCTCACACTATTCAGGATGGTGCAAAAGTTGACTTGTTTGTGGAATTCGTATAAGATGGGCTGGCCTTACTTCTGATTATTAACCAATCAGAGTACATCAAGGTTTCTTTCCCATATAATTGGTCAAGACGATCACTTTTATCGACTGCGAAAACCAATTTATGGTGCTACCAAGTAAGGTGGTCAATTTATGGTGTACTACGTAGTGCTTGAAAGAGGCCTCCTCGTAGAATGAGAATGGAACGATCCTATTGGCCAGCTATTTTCATTTTTCTATCATATAATTGGACAAAAATTTGGTAGCCTACCTCACGAATTCATCAAAAAGATGCATTTAAGGAATTAAAAAATATCCCATACAAACATGAAGCTTCTTTCAATAGAATTTGACCTATTTCAGATCGCCTTGCGAGCCTACTAAAACCTACGAATTCTGTGTTATGTTCCTCGAGTATTAATACTGTTTTTTTGTCTTTATCACTGTTTGACCAGGTTAATCTCCCAATGGTTCAATCTGTTTCCATGGGGACATGAAATATTGTTTATAAATGGCTAGATGAAGCCGAAAACAATTACAACAGCTACGAGAAGAGCCATCGGGAAGTAGTGTGACGATGGTGCTGAGGTTTTGCCGTTTGAAGTTGAAAGGAGTGATGTGGGGACAATTGTGTCGACGTTCGGAAGGTTTGAGGTGTTTACGCGTTGAGAAGCCACAGGGCTGGTGGTGTTGGCTGCGATAGGACTGCTAGTTGTAGTGTCGGAGGAGAAAATTGTTGGCGTCAGACTTGAGCTGGTGGCTAGAGCGTGGGGGACTGAATCACTCTCTTGGGTGGCAGGCGTGGTGGTGGTTTGAGTGAGGACCGCAGCTAAGGTATTCACCTCGATGGAGCGAGTGGAAGTGGGGTTAGGGGGCGCAAGCGTACTTGTCACAGCAGCCATAGTGCCAACCAGTGCCGCCGTGGCTACAGGTGACGGGGGAGCAGCACTTCCTTTGTCATCAATTTCCATGGGACTCGTGTCCGCTGGTTGGTTTGGGCCAACGCTCAGGAGGATCTCCTGGTTGTTGGCTTCCAAAAACGCTTGCAGTGGCATATTTGAAAAGTCTTGAATCGACATACCGAGGTACGTGCACGGCTTGAACAATGCAAACGGCGCCGACAGATCAGACCACCACGTTTGGCAACTAGGGGTGTTCACCATCGTGGCAATGGTGTCGGGGGGAGTCACGGTGGACTCGAAGATGCTGCGGATGGACTTGCCGCCCAAGGCGTTGGCGCCGCAAGCGTCCGCCGCTGGCGTCTTCATAAACGGGACTGACGTGAGTGCGATCTTGCCAGAGTCGCATTCCACGAGAGTGGACTGACCAGCAGCCTCGCCACTGAGGACGCCCAGGATAACGACGAGTTTAATCTCAAGAGCAAGCATGTTTTTCAATGTGTCCAATCCAAAAGTAGTAGTGTCCGTTATACTTGTGAAAATTGCTCTCGGCTGTGTCGCAAGTTGCGCTCATAAACAACACTGTCACATTACAAATTCCAAACCACGAAACGGTATGGAGAAATCAATGTTCTACTATTAATAGTCAAGCAACTTCATCTTAGAGGTCCAGACTTACCCGCACTGAGCCTTGCTTCGACATTTGATTGGTTGATCTGAAATTACTTGTCGCTGATTGGCGAGTATATTCTTTTCCCTTTCTGTGGATTATGTGTTAGCCAATCAAATCTCGCGGTGATGTTGCGAGGTTCTGCGAAGTGGGGTACAGTAATTTGATTTGAGCAAAGTAATTGTGGTTCGAAACCTTGGAAAAGCCATACGGAAACCCACGAAAGTTAATCTATTTCCCAACGCTGCATGCCAGAATCCTCTCTGGTGCATCCATGTCTACTCCGTTCAAGCGCCGCCAGTACTCGGAGCTCCAAGACCTGATGCTGCTGAGGCAAATCAGCGACGACAAGCCATTCCTCGCCCGCCACGGCAGGATTATGGAGGCGTGGGAATCTGTTGCGCGCGCTCTAGCGGCCCAAGTCGACTTCGACCGACCTCATTTCGACGGCAAGAAGGCCCAATCCCGATTTGCCATCCTTTTGCGTGACCATCGCGACAACAACAATGCGCCCATGCGTGCCGTGTCTGCTTGTACGGGGGAAGACTCAGCGGAGAAGATGGATCTGTTGGAGGACATTTCCAGGCTGGAAAGGTCATCCACCCTCGCCGCCTCGGGCAATCAAGTCGACGAAGCCAAGGAGGCCAACGACGTGCCGCGATCTACCACTGACGACCGCGACGATGCAGTAGCAACAGCAGCAGCACACGTGAACGAAGAAGCCCAGGCGTCCGTCCAGGACGTACCGCGCAAGCGAAAGTTGGACGACGACGACGACGACGACGGGGACTCGAGTGCGTCGGGTAAACTGCTCAAACTCGTGGGTCTCATGAACGAAGCCAGCAAGCACGAGCGAGACCTGCGCAGGTTTATGTTTGAACGGGAAGTGGAAGAGCGAAAAAGGGATCGCGATGCCCAAACCCAGCAAATCCAAATGCTCCAGCACTCGCTGACGGCGGTGCTTGACGCCCTGATCAAAAAGTTGTAAAAACGTCGATTTGATAGTACAAATTTGGGTGCAATCGAATTTCGCGCCGACGAAACCAATTCACAATCCATCTGATTGGTTGAATTTCATTGAAAAGGTTTTGATTGGCTAATAATTTTGAGCTCAACTGTAGTAGCCAATCAAATCGATTTAAATTCCATACGAGAAACCACGCCACAACACGAAATTTCACTCGAAAGCACAATAGCAGCACTACAACACCGTGTCGCACATTTTTATAGCTTTGCAAATTTCGTTTTTCATCTTGCCGCCACTTGTCGGGTGAAAAAAATAAATCAGTTGAGTCCGTCCGTCCACTCTATTGTGCCACGCGGTGTTGTACACTAGTAATACTAACGTTAACTAGTAGAAAAAACACTTTCCAAGTGACTATTAATAGTACTTCAAGTATATTGTTTGGACGACTGATACTAGTGCAGTAGCTTGTTTGAATACTAACGTTACAGAAGTAACGTTACATGCGACACAGTAAGCTAATAGGAGTACTGTATCACGACGATGCCTCATGTTTACATGCAAGAGTCCAGTGCTGTAGCTTGAAGTTACGAGGCGTTACACCATCCCACAACTGGACAAGAGCTACAGAGGTCGCTTGAACGAGCCGCGCCACACAACACCACCACCATGCGAGGTGTAATATGGAGCTACCGAAGAGCGTATTCACCCCGCCGCAGCAGTCTCGAGAGTGTCGTTGATGCGACGCCAAAGACCTCCTGCAGTGTCTTGTGCTCGACGGCTGCCGTGTAGAAATGCAGCACAATAGCCAGAACAGCATGAGCGTTAAACTGGTGTACCACGCGGCGATGCTGGCCTCGTTACAGAACACCCGCACACGGCAATGCTGGAGTCCACCTGCGACAGAGGCGGCCATGAATGCGGTGTGGTGGAGGAAGGTGATGGAGTAACTTAAGTAGAACTTCATATAAGTTAATGTTAAAATCATACCGTAATATATTAATTCAATTTAACGATAGCATTTGGCAGTGCTCGCGGCGGACAATGCCAGTTAAAGCTTAGGATATTCCTCCTCGCCCCATTATGGACCGCCGCCTGCAAGAGGCATTGGCGCCCGCCGGCAATCAACTGACATCATATTGACGTACTTGGGACTGCCGAACATGGCTCGACTGAGGAGATCCATGCAACGGCACGTCATAGCCATATGGAAATGGTCAAGTTCTTGCATCAGCTCAATTTTGGATGTACGACCACAGCGATGGACGATGTCGCTACCGGTTGCCATCTGGAGGTCGTCCGATGGTTGAATACTCATGAGAACGTACAGATACATAGCTGTAGTTTGTGCGCCTGGATGCGACTAATTTGGGTGCAATCTGAGAGCAAGACATGTTTCAGTTTTGATCAGATTTGTTGAATTCGGCCCCAAAATCCGTTTTAGGCCTGAATATTGCCATATTGATCCGGTTACCAGACGCACCGTGAGACGTTGGGAATTTTTTGCAGACTTGCCAAAACGGTTTATGGCATAACTTTATGGCTGGCATCGAGACCAGCCCTTAGCAGAATAGAGGTGTTTACAGTTATTATAGCAAGTTGATACTAACGTTACATGTACTTTGCAGTACTTCGAAGTATTTATTACCACTAACATTTACTGTTACAACTGCTACACAAGCAATATTGCCATTTCCTCCACTCTCGCTCACACTCCACCCCTCCACAAATTACAATCCGATGCAGACAAGAATACAAGAATATCATTTTTGACCAAAATGTGCAATAACCGGAAATTCCGCGCGGGGTTTGTGGATGTTGATTGGCTATTTCGATGCGCACCCTATATTTTCTACCATGGACACGGAACGACCGTCGAAGGTACGATCGCCGCTTCTACACGTATCGCCCATGTTGGCAGTCCTCGTCACCCAGGGACTTTTCGACGCTATCATTGCGTATCAGAATGGAATTTACCTGGACCTGCGCCCATTCGTGGGCTTGACGGATGCGTTGGGGCCTCTCGGTGATCTTCTCAAGCGCACTGCTTCTGAAGGGATTGACCATTGGGATGGCATCACGATTGTCGCTGAATCATTTGCCCCCCTTGGTCAAGTCATGTCGGGGTGGTACAAGGCCAACGGATCTGCCCGCATGCTCAAGCTATTAGCTTGTTTCCCGCAACTGCGAGACCTTGTCATTGCGCACGCTGTGGTCAATGGAAACCTTCCACTATTGAGCTTGCTACCACTCGAGATCTTGCGTGCAGTGCCATACACGTTGCTCGATTTGGCAGCTTGGGACGGCCACCTGAATGTCCTCGAGTTCCTTCATTCTGTTGTGGGCCACGAAGGATGTACTACTTGGGGAATGAACCTTGCTGCTCGTTATGGCCACCTCGACGTTGTTCGCTACCTCCATGAGCGCAGAAGCGAAGGATGCTCAGACTGGGAATGGACATGTGGAAGTTGAAGTCATCAAAAAGATGCGTTTGAGACCAGCCTTTATGGAAATATTCAGTCCTTTACAGTTAATGGAATGCGTCTGGTAACCGGAAATATTGCAATATTCAGATGTTATCAGGCGCATACAATCATGAATCTTCTTTCAATAAAATTTGACCTATGTATTTCAGATCGATTTATGGAATTCGAAAAGTCACCTTGCGAGCCTACTACGTAGTAAAACCTAGTGCTTCACCTGTCTCAGATTCAAATTTGGTGATGAAGTAGATATTTAACCTAACGTTAGTCGTATTTTACATGGGCGCATGGATCTTTATTTGGCCATGGGGGTGGTCGCTGAGATATATTTTGATTTTTGTATGTGGTTCTTGTCCGTATAAATTATCCGGATGTAGTTGGGACCATAACCTCCCACTATGTACGGTGATAAAACTCATGAAATCAGTATTTAACGTATTTGGTCTTTGGGTTTAACTACATAAATTGTACGTTAAATAATAAAACCTCCACTCTTCGATTTGGCCAGTTGGAAGCTTTGAGATCATAATTTATGCGAGCAACTTGCGACACAGCCGAGAGCAATTTTCACAAGTACCCTGGATATTACCACTTTTGAATTGGACACAACATTGAAAACTATGCTTGCTCTTGCGATTAAACTCGTCGTCATCCTGGGCGTCCTCAGTGGCGAGGGTGCTGGTCAGTCCACTCTCGTGGAATGCGACTCTGGCAAGATCGCACTCACGTCAGGCCCGTTCATGACGACGCCAGCGGCGGACGCTTGCGGCGCCGAAGCGTTGGGCGGCAAGTCCATCCGCAGCATCTTCGAGTTCAGTGTGACTCCCCCCGACACCATTGCCACAATGGTGAATACGCCTAGTTGTCAAACGTGGTGGTCCGAACTGTCGGCGCCGTTCGCTTTATTCAAGCCATGCATGTACCTGGGTACAACGATCCAGGACTGCTCCAAGCAGCCACTCCAAGCGTTCTTGGAAGCCAACAACAAGGAGATCCAAAGCTTTGACCCGAATCGACCGGCAGACACGAGTCCGGTTGAAACCGACGACGAAGGGGGTGGCGCTGCATCGGTAGAAAGCACGACCGAAGTGCCACCGGAGACGTCGCTGGCTCCAACTTCTGTGATAGAAACGTTCTGCTAGTTACCACTTCGACGCCACCAGCCACGTCATATGCTAAACGATATACTGGGTGTCTCTAATTTTGACACTACTACGTAGTACTCGAGTACATAGATAGATAGTAATGCTACGATGTATTAATATACGCCGCAGCCTGCACAATGTAGCAATGAGAATTTTTGAACGATCGTATTGGCCAGTATATTCATTTTTCCAAATTTCTATCCTAAAAATTCGGTAAGGCAGGCTGCCTTTCGAACTCATCAAAAAGACCTATTTCAAATCGATTTATGGAATTCGTAAGTTTTGACCAAAAAATTCAAAAACTGGAAATTCCAAGCACTGTGCGGATGTTGATTGCCTATTTCGATGCACACCTTATATTTTCAACCATGGACACGGAACGACCGTCGAAGATGCGATCGTCGCTTCTAAACGTATCGCCCATGTTGGCAGTCCTCGTCACCCAGGGACTTTTCGACGCTACCATTGCGTATCAGAATGGAATTTACCTGGACCTGCGCCCATTCGTGGGCTTGACGGATGCGTTGGGGCCTCTCGGTGATCTTCTCAAGCGCACTGCTTCTGAAGGGATTGACCATTGGGATGGCATCACGATTGTCGCTGAATCATTTGCCCCCCTTGGTCAAGTCATGTCGGGGTGGTACAAGGCCAACGGATCTGCCCGCATGCTCAAGCTATTAGCTTGTTTCCCGCAACTGCGAGACCTTGTCATTGCGCACGCTGTGGTCAATGGAAACCTTCCACTATTGAGCTTGCTACCACTCGAGATCTTGCGTGCAGTGCCATACACGTTGCTCGATTTGGCAGCTTGGGACGGCCACCTGAATGTCCTCGAGTTCCTTCATTCTGTTGTGGGCCACGAAGGATGTACTACTTGGGGAATGAACCTTGCTGCTCGTTATGGCCACCTCGACGTTGTTCGCTACCTCCATGAGCGCAGAAGTGAGGGATGTTCAGACTGGACCGTAGTATTTGCCGCGGAGAATGGGCATGTGGAAGTTGTAAAATTCCTTCACAACTATTTTGATCCCAGTACCGTCCTCGTCAGTGCCGCTCTAAAGTCCGCCGCTAGCAACAATCGATTGGATGTGGCGACGTACATCATTCAGGTGCTAGGTAATGATGAGCGTAATTCGACTGACGTGATCGAAGAAGCGGCGCGCAAGGGCCATCTGCAAATGGTCCAGTTGTTGCACCTGAACAGTTTTGCTTGTACGACCAAAGCGATGGACGACGCCGCTGTCGGTGGCCATTTGAAGGTCGTCCAATGGCTGCATTCTCATCGGACCGAAGGCTGTACGACGCGCGCAATGAACTGGGCCGCATCGAATGGACATTTGAAGATTGTGCAATGGTTACATGCCAATCGTCAAGTAGGGTGTACGAACTGGGGGCTTGAACGGGCTGCTACCCTTGGCCATCGGGATGTGGTGGAATTTCTCGTGACCCATCGACATGAGGTCGATGCGAAAGTGGTTTTGGAGCGGGTGAAGCTAGAGTACCGCTACGATGCCGTGGCGATGTTAGAGTCCATTATGGACAAGCCATCACTCGAAAATCGTCAACGCGATTCGAACACGAGGCAGAACGTGAGCTATGCTTAGCTCGTCATCTTCGCATATTCGTAGTAAGCAAGTCGAATCCATCAGCTTGACCATTTTGGTGGAACGGTTCTTCAAAAGGCACTTCGATGAAGAGATCGCCACTTTGCAGAAGTGTCGCCAATGTCAGCAGTCCTCTCCATTCAGCAACTTTTGAATGCTATCACTGCGTATCAGCATGGAGTCTACCTTGACGTATTCGTGGCTACTACCTAGTATGGCAAAGCCACCTTGCAAACTCTCCGAGATCTTCTCCAGCGTACGTATTATATGGGTTCGAGAAGATCTGAATATGTGGCTAACACCCTTGGAACACCTTCACCGACATTGCCAGACTGTTTTGCTCTCTTCACATGGGCTTGATGGCGTTTTTTTAGTGCGAGGTCTATGGCGTATGTTGAAGTTGTTTGACGCCGCTGTCGGTGGCCATCTGGAGGTCGTCCAATGGTTGTCTGTTCATTGGACCATAGGTTGTACAACGCGGACACTAATGGTCCGAGCAGCCTCAAATGGACATTTGGAGGTTGTGAAATGGCTCCATACAAATCATCCTGAAGGGTGTTCAAGCTGTGCGCTTAGAACTGGCCACCTATTTTTGTCGTTGGGTGTGACTTTGTGGAATTTCGTGTCACCCGTCGGGTAGGGGGCGATGTTGCAGTTGGAGCTTTCGAGGGACGATCAACGTCTTGTGGCGATATAAGAGTTCATTATTGTGGATAAGATGTAGACACTAGCTAACGTTATGTACGGTGTCGATGTCTCGATACGACGGTTGCGGTGTGGCACCCTCGAGATACATAAATATAATTTCTGCCATGATCGGTTAGCCATGTAAACATTAATGTTGTCACGAGAATGGCACCGACAGCATTAGTCCCGCGAGTTCGACCAAGGAAGCAGTGCGAATCCGCATGGAGCTAGATTCGACATTTGTCCATTTGGGGGTATGAAAGGCTCTAACAGTTATTTATATCGCGTGCCTCAGCTACTACGTAGTAGTACTGTATACTGCAACAACGTGTCCATGAAATCGATGCCACTGATGTTGCATTTGCCCCGTTTCACCATGTCGTTACGACATAGTATTGTCAAATCGATTCGAAACTGGATTCGAATGGTATTTGGCGAAATGACTCACAAGTCCAAATTCGGGGGAATTGCACAATACCATGTCGTGGACTTCTGTCGCATGTTCTCATTGCTTACTTGTTTGCTTCGCGTTCGAGTTGGGGCGGCTCCGCGACAATCGATAAAACGACAACTACCATCAGTGTCACAAGCTCCCCCCCAGTGCCTACAAGCATATTCAAACGCAGAAACTCGCTGTGGCAAGGGCGACTTGGTTATTTATGACCACACGACGCATAAACCTGACTGGGGGGTTAAGATTCTCCCGTTAAGGGCATGGCGGACATTTATGGGGGCAGTTGAAAGGGTACGATGAGGGGTTTAGTTACTATATAGGCCTCTTAACATACTAGTAATGGCAAGAATTAATCGCTGACATTTTTCAAACCCCTCCAATCTTGTCAAACCGATTTTATTAACCACATTTTGCTATAATCACCTGTTAGGGTTTCTCTGGCGTTGATTGGCTGTTCCCTCAAAGTTACAAGGCAAAAACGATGGACTCGTCGACGACGAATGCGCCACTTGGCGAAGTGCAGTCCTCTTCAACCAGGAACTTATGGACGCTATCAGTGCGTATCAGCATGGGATCTACCTGGACTTGCGCCCATTCGTGGGTGTGGCGGCGGTGTTGAGTCCTTTTGAAAAGCATCTCAGGCGTCTTTGTTCGGGGGACAAGATCCTTGAGTGTATCTATTGGGAAGGCCACAACACATTCACCAGATCATTTGCCCTCCTTCACAAAGTCTTAGTGGCTTGGTACGAGGCCAATGGTACTGCTCGTGTGTTAAAGTTGTTTGCCACCAGCGATTTAAGAAACGAAGCACCATGCCTTGCTATGACCTTATCGGATACTATGTAGAAGTGCAAGTCTACAACTTAAACTTTGTCCAATTGGGGGAAGCAAGTACCTACCTGTGAGCCAACGAACTTGATTGACCGGCGAGTACTATATCGTCTCATCATACTGCCCAGTAGCATACGAAATTTGAAGCCCAAGCTACGAAATCAACATCGAATCAAGCCGTCGATAAGTGTTTCGCTTCAGAAACACTTGTTGGTTTGAATTGTCCAAGTTTTTTTAGCATAGGGATGTACGAATTGCCATTTCACCATCAAATCAAATCTAGGTTTCAACAGCAACGACAGTGTTCGTGTCAGCATAGAATGGATTTGCGCACCCCATTTGTGGAGGAGTTATATAATAATGCCTCGTCCACGCTTCAAGCCATTGAGATACAGCGTTACAACAACATGAACCAGCTTACGAGTAATCAAAACACAAGTGATATCTCCTTGTAAGAAGTTTCAGATATACGTGTGGTCCGCTGCAGTAATGCATGCCCAGCCAGTGAATTTCCATATAAAAGCCATCTCGTATTCAACAACTATAGCGCGTCCATCGTCTCCATCCAAAATACATTTTCTAAAACCCTTCAAAGTAGTCTTGGCCTGCGTACTTGGCCACCGAATGCGCTTCGTTACACCGGTCAAAGTTGGACACGTCGGCCGCGCCCTTGATCACGGGGACATGGGGGGCCCGAAGGGTTTTATTCACCAGTCCCTTCCAGTCGAAATTCACCGTCGCAAACCACGGATGGTTCACCACATCATTCATCCCCCCCGCGAGGGATCCTACAACACCAAACGTATGCACATGAGCAAAAATACACAAACAACACTAGCTTTGACGAGACACGGCATGTTGACGTATGTACCCAATCGCAGGCCAGGGTTGGGCTCGAGCAGTTTGGTGATCAAGTCCTGGGCGAGGGGGTCGAACTTCGCGTGAAACTTGAGCGCCGTTTTCGCGTGGATGATCTTTTCAAATATGCGCTGCTGTTCTTGGTGCTGGAACGGCGTGCGCCCCGACATGAGCTCGTAAATGAGGCAGCCGAGGGCCCAATAATCCACGGATTTGTCATGCCCCTTGTTTAGGACGAGCTCAGGGGCCAGGTACTCGGGGGTGCCGCACAGCGTAAACGACTTCTCGCACAGTTGCGCACCTTTGTAGAACGGAATGTGCTTGGCAAACCCAAAGTCCACCATCTTCAAATACCCCTCGTGGTCAATCATGAGATTCTCAGGCTTCAAGTCGCGATACGCCACGCCCAGCGACTGCAAATACCGAAACACTTCGACCACATTCGCAGCGTAAAAGCGAGCGCTTGACACGTCAAACGCGCCTATGTATAAGAACATGGCGTTACGGGTTTTCAGGAATATATATATATATATATATTTCATTTATAGCTCCATTCATACGAATCATTACCAAATCCTATGAATATTGTCAATGCGATTCGAAATTATAAGCAACGACGCAATCAGTGGACCAATCAAATATCGCCGCCAATCATGTTCCTAAATCCAAAATCACTTCATTTTGTCAACATCGACCTTCATGTGTGACTTGTACGTATCACAGTAAGGTAGTGTGACGGCACATTCACAAATCCCAGAGCACTTTGCAAATGTGGCCAACCAAACTCCTAAACCCAATCAATCTCTTCATCGAGTCAACATCGACACTTTGTGTGATGAGATTGAAATTAGTATGTCAGGTATAACTCCTGTGGAAGTTGTAGTGTTATTCATCGCATTACATGAGATACCTAACCACACAAAAAATATGCAAATGGGTATACAAACCTTGAGATAATACTGTGCACCATTAACTGGTCCTCAAGTTTTGAGTACACTTGCTTCGAAAATGGTATTTATGTCTGTCAAATAGACCTTGAAACACGATTATTTGAATGTCCAATGAATCAACTTACAACATTCCATACAATAAACCGATAAAACATGAAAATCGGGCTGAAAACGACTTGTACACACTATGCTGTACCTACCACACACTCCCTTGGGCACCAAGAACGCCTTCTCGTACAGAAGGGCCCACAGTTCCCCGCCTTGTACGAGCTCGAGCAGCATGTACAACTGATCTGAATCGCTGAAGGTTTCGTACAGCTTGAGCACGAACGGGTGATCACACTCGGCCACGATGCCCTTCTCGTGCAGGACGTTCCGCTGCTGGTGGGTTTCCACGATGTTGGCTTTTTGCATGCATTTCAATGCAAACGTATGGCCCGTGGTCTTGTGCTTCATCATCAGCACACGACCAAACGTGCCCGTGCCAATGGTTTGCACCTTGTCAAAGTCCTACCCAATAATAATACAACAAATCAATTATAGATAGTTATCATTCTTGAGCAATGGTATACATATAAAAATGTTTGTATATAAATATATATATTATATACATGCAATCGGAAATCGCCAAAATGCCAAGTTTAGTGTTTATATGCCCTGCTTCGGGGTATTGGGGGCGCATCGCCGTCAAAGCATCGTATATCCATGTGTCATTCTTGGACGATAACATATATATAGATATTGTCAAGTCGATTCGAAATTGGTTCAATCGAATGAGCAACACCAAATCGGCAGACAATCGATCGACGAATCAAAACCCAGAACACTATTCAAGTGGCCAATCAAATCCACTCTTCGACCAAATCAACAACGAAATAGTGTGTGAATGAAATTAGTGTGACACTGCACAATTTTTACATACAAAAGTCAGTACAAAGAATTGATATATCTCGATCGATTTGGCAAAGAATTTTTGGGTAAATGGACAATAATATGTATACATACATATACAATATATATATATATATATATATATATATATATATATATATACACATGAAACCGTCATACAGTAATATAGTCGATAAGTACTTCACAGCCTTAGATTGGCTGATTACCGCATGTATACATACATATACAATATATATATATATATACATATACACATGAAACCGTCATACAGTAATATAGTCGATAAGTACATCACAGCCTTAGATTGGCTGATTACCGCGAGACGGTACTTCTTTTGCGCCGGTGTCGCAGGTACGCCTTTGGTGGACGTGGCGAGCGCGGCCTCTTGCATGACTTGCTGGCGTTTGGTTTCCCGAGCCATGATATGCTCCAGCTTGCCCAGGAGCCCTTCAAAGGAGCTGCGGTCCAAGCAGAGGCACTCGACACGCCCGACAGCAACGCAGTCAGCCGCGCGGGGTTCGTTGTTTAGCAACGCGCGTTCGCCAAAAAACTCGCCCGACCGGAGGGTCATGATCTCGACACCGCTCTTGTGCACGCAGACTTTCCCGTCACTATACAAATATATATATATATATCCAATTTCAATGCACGTCGAAAACGATATCAATCGTGTTTTCTTTCGTTACGATGAAAATGTACAGTAGTAGTAGTATTCACGTGCCAATGGTACAACATAGCATCAACATGACATGGGTGTAACGTTCAAACAAGAAATAGTGTGAAAACCTCCACGACTACTGATCATGATATGCAAAACTCCGTCCTAACCCAATCGGTATTCCGTCGATTGCAACAACCCCCATACAAGTCCAAGTGTTGGCAATAGGACAATACTTCGAAAAACATTAAATATATATATAACCTTGAAAGGAACTAAAGCAACATCAAAACCTTCCAAAGTACCATGTTAAAGTCACACAGTACATACCTGATGATGAAGAAAGTATCGCCGTTGTCGCCTTGGCGGAGAATTGGCTGCTTGTCCTCGTACGCTACAACCCGCAGCGCGTGGGCGAGGATGTCGAGCTCGTCGTCGGTGAGATAGTTTAACAACGGAACGCTGCGCAGTACACGAATGCGCATCTGCCGATCGAGGAGGCTGCGCAACGGCCCGAGGAGGTTAGTGAAGTCCTGCCGCCCGAGGACGTAGCAGGACACGGTGCCTTTGGCCACGCAGTTGGCTTGGCGTGGCTCATTCAACATGAGCGCCATCTCCCCAAAGTACTGGCCTTTCGTGAGGGTCATGAGGGGCTTCTCGACGCCGTCGTGGGTCGCCGACGTCGTGCACTGCACTGTCCCTTCCACGACGATGTAAAACGTGTGCCCTTCCTCGCCCTGCTTGATGATGTACGACCCGTCCGAAAACTGCTCGAGTTTGAGCGCCGCCGCGACCTTTTGCAGCTGGTTGTGACTCAAGCGCTGGAGCAATTCGACGTTTTGAAGGAACTGCACTCGGCTCAACTGCATCGTCGACGCGGTTGTGGCCAGAATCTTGCGGAAACTCGTGCGGTCCACGGTCCAGAGGCTGCACGGCGTTATCGTCCGGATGGTCGCCGCGCGGGGGCAGTTGTACAGCAGCGCCAGCTCCCCGAACGCGTCCCCGCCAACGTACTGCCCGACGACCTCGTTGTTGACGTAAATCTCACACGTGCCCGACTCGAGGATGTAGAAGCAGTTGCCGGCACTCCCCTGGACGATCACGTCAGTTTGAGCCGGGGGCTGGATGTTGGACATGGCGAGCATGATGTCGTGGACTTCCGACTCGCCCAGCGAACTGAACAGGTAGTGCCCCTTGAGCGATCGCAAAATCACTTGGATGGTGCTAGCGCTTTTGGGAAACGTCGCGGGGGACAGCGCGGTCGGGTGGCTGTCGGGCTCGACGGATGCGTCGTTGATGGGCGCGCGGCGATTCGCGCCGGTCCGACCCGTGGGGGACGCCGGGCGGGTGTCCGGGTTGTCCAATGACAGGTCTTGAAGCGACGAGAGCTTAGTTGGCGCGGCGGGGGGCAACACACTGGGGGGGACTCGAGGAGACGCCATGGTTGAGATTCTTCGAATCGCAAAGTGGTGGTGGTGGCCGTTGGTTGTTTCAAAGCGAGTATACTACTTGATATTATAAGGTCAAGCGACTGAATGCTATTTTGGGACGCGCGTTGAGGTGAAACCAGCCGTTACGAAAGGTCGGTTACATTTAACCTTGACCGGGTGCCGAAACTACAGAAGGTACAACTCGCTGCACCACTCGCCCGGTAAACGAGAGGGAGCTCTACAAGTGCGTTTTTGCCTTGATCACAGCTAGTTGTTTCGAGGTGGGGCGAGTTTACTGCTTGGTGCTAGTACTGTAGACCGATGTGTTTGCAGCGGGTTTATACGCTGACAAGATGGGTTGTGCTATAAATATTGTAGCGTTACCAGTCAAGGTTGTTGCGAAGAAGTATATTGGTGGGACCCGACAACCCACTTTGTACGGAATGTGAATCCACATTGCATTTACAAACAATCAATGGTTATTCACTGAATCATTTGCAAAAAATCGGCGTGGAAATAGCCGACGTACGTTTACGCGCATATGATTCCAAGTACGCAAAGGCTTCGGGTGCCTATCTATCAGAAAGCCAAAGCGTAGTAAAATTACTGGTATATGCACAGAATTGGAATGGCGTCCTGACTAAATGTTCGAATTTGACCGACGTATCACAGGATCAATTGTTAAAACAATCAAGTTATGATGGTTATTCTATTAAAGGCTCCACACAGACGCCCAAAACTGCACATATTGCGCCATGGTGTCACTTGGTCAACGGCCATACGTACGCATTGCGGTTATTGCTGCACTTATCACTAGGGGTCGCACTGGCGTCATCGACAAAGGAGCGCTCGGTGGACACAGGGGTGCATGAAGTTGGTAAGGGGGTAACACGAACACTGGAAGTAGTCGCGGGGGCAGTAGTTGTCGACGGACTTTGGCTGGTGGTGGTAGGCGTGGGATCAGCAACGACTTGGGGGATGGCGACGGGAGGTCGTAGCACGTTCCTTTGCCGCCGCCGTTGCGTTGGAGGTGGATATACCCTGCATCTCCCTTGAGCTGGGGCCCCAAACGAGTTTTTGATCATGTACGAGTCTCCATTGTACCCACGGCGATGGCGGTATGGTTGGTCCGACTGGGCGCCTGGGCACTCGGATATGACCCCGCTCTTGTAGTTGTTCCACATAACGTTCCCGGCTTCCACGGGCACCGCCACGGGTTGGCCGTTCGACGCCGAAGCTAAGACCGCTTCGCCGGTGGTTTTCACGCGTTTGTCGAGGGCCAGCCTTTGCTTCACACTCGATTTGCCATCCATCCAGTCAATGGCATACCATGGGAAGCCCTTTCTGCCTCTGGTGGTGGTGCAGCTGGTCTCTTGCTGTTCCAGCAAGTCCAAGAGCTGGCCCGTGGCAATGCAGTGGGCAGATTCCACCACCCCTGCAGTGGAAGAGGCCCAGCTATATCCGCACGTGCCTTGGTTAGCCATGGGGCTCAAGAGCAGTTGGTCGTCGTCCAGACATTCTCGGACTTGCGAAACAACCAAACAACTTCAACACGAGGGAGTAGTCGCCCCAGAGGTCGCTCCACACCGTCACGAAACGCGTTGGAGAGCTGGACGTCAATCCTCATGTTGGACAGTGTCGGAGTATTTCCACCCCGTGATGGTTTCGCGGAGCTCCTGGGACAATAGCACTGATGGCGTCGATGGGAGGCGTGACGGACAGTGTACCTCAAGAGGCAACAGGAACGATGCAGACTTGCATGTTTGCGTATCTGAAACCCTTGGAGTGATTGATTGCGGTGGATACAGTACAACGAGACCCTTAACCTCCAATGAATCACATGCGTGGCTGGGGTTACACATATATCCGTCGTACTAGTATGATCATGGCACCTGGATTCGAAGGTACTTAATTATGTGTAAAACGTGTGGCTGTAGCGTTCCCATCGCTCAAGGAGAAAGCTGGCATGACGTGGCACCTTACGAGGGCTCTGAGGTCAACATGTACTGTACACCAGTGTTGTCCTACTTCCGTACTAACAGTTAGAGCGCAAACATCAACCCTTATTAACGTTAGTACTATTACATTGTACGTACTCCGAGTAGTATTGTACAAATAGTATTGTAGTACTATAGTATTAGTTAATTACTCGTACTGTACTCGTATTACACTGTTACATGCTATAGTTATTATTAATAATTAGAGCATTTACTATTATTAATAATACTACTTCTGTAACCGGAACAAAATCATCCGGATGATGCCATTCCAAATCAGGAGCACGAGCAAATACAAGCAATGGGAGCAGTGCGAGGCAGCCGGAAGAAGGACGACGGGTTTGTATCCAAATCGGAGTCGGATGTGGGGCGGAAGGCGTCGACGTCGGTGGCCAAGAGTCTCTTTGAGTCAATGGACACGGCCGACGCAAGGAACGCTGCTTCTACTGCATCTGCAGCAGCCGAGACGAGGGTGACGAAGCGCGAGTTGAAGAAACAAGTGGATGACGCCATCGACGACCGCAACGACCCAGGTGATATAAACGATGACGATCAGGACAAGCCCAAGGCCGCGGTGGCGGCGGTATTTCAGTCGCCCAAGGTGAAGCGGGAGTCAACTGCGGACACGGCGTCGACATTTGGCAGTCAATCCACAACCCCCGTCACCCCGAGCAGCCTCCACGACGACTTTATCAACTTGATGAAGGCGCAAGGCCTCGAGCGCATGGCAACCGACGCAGGGTTGCTCAAAGATGGCCAATTCCGCGACCTCAAGCGTGAATGGGGAGGTATCGTTCCTTGGCTTCCCCTTCGTCATTCAACCACCCTTCCCACGTGTCTTGTAGAGAGCATCAACACGAGCTCCACAACGTCGTCGTCGTCGCCGTTTATGAACGAAGGCAAGATCCATCTCTCTATTCATCCACACATCGTGTATCTTGACCGTGTCCTACTACTAGTCCATGGCGCGTCCACCCCCAAGAAGAAGAAGCCGCGATCGACGTCCACCACGCCCGTGTCCGACAAGGGCAGCAAAGGCCTGCGCCATTTTAGCATGAAAGTGTGCCAGAAAGTCGAGGAAAAGCATGTAACAACGTACAACGAAGTCGCAGACGAGCTAGTCCATGAGTTCGTGACCATGCGACCCGCCGAGTCTGTGGTACATTTCGACAGATGCACGTTGTGTGACTAGTCTTTTTATTTCGCATTTTGAGCGGATTTTTCACTGCTTTTCGCTGTTTTCTGCCTGGTTTTGGTGAAAAAGAGCATCTATTTTCTTAAAGCTATATAGTGTTCATTTTTGTAATTAACAATGAACGTATATATATATTTATATATATAGATATGATTCAAGGGTGTGGAGCTTTTCGTGTGTTTTCGCGTGTTTGGTGTTTTGGGTCTGTAATTTGGTCTATATTTCATCTTTTTTTTTGTTGTTTTCGAGTTAACCTGGTCGTTAAATATAGTATATGCATTGGTAGAACTACGACGAGAAGAACATTCGGCGCCGCGTATACGATGCATTGAATGTGCTCATGGCCATGGATATCATTTCAAAGGAGAAAAAAGAGATCCGATGGCGCGGATTGCCGTCCAACGCCAAGCAAGACCTGGAACTGCTGCAGGTGAAATAAACAACAATCATTTATATTGCCAAATAAACAACAATCATTTATATTGTGAAATAAACAACAACAATCCTTTATATTTCAGGCCATCGTATGTTTTGTATCGAACCGTTTTCATTTATTTCGTTTCATTTATTTGAAATGTTTGTACAAAGTCCTGATGCGCTCCAATACGGTTGGTTGTGTGTGTGTGGTTCCACCGTGGAACGCTCGTCGTATGTATTTATTTACAGTTAGTACATACATACACCCTCCATTCATGTCTCTTTTCATTTATAATATATATATACATATATACACCCTCCGTTCATCTATCTTTTCATTTATAATATATATATATACATATATATGAACCCTCGTTCATCTATCTTTTTCATTTCTAATATATATATACATATATATGAACGCTCGCCATATGCATGGAGCAGTTGTTTCATTTATTTAATACATACATACACCCTCCGTTCATCTATCTTTTCATTTATAATATATATTATAAATAATGCGAAGTAGATAGCAGCCAATGAGATGTAGCTCGGCTCTATTTGGCCTCGATTGAAACATACCATGAAACATCGGGAAATTTGAAGAAAATCGACAACATAGATATATAAATATTTTGAATTCTTGTAAAATATATATATATATATATATATATATATATACTGTTGACCTTGTGTGTGATTTAGATGGAAAATGCCCAACGAGCAAAAAGCGTCGAGCAAAAGAAGCAGCAGCTGCAGGAGTTGCTCCTTCAGGTACCCCTCGTCGTCGTCGTCGTTCGTAGTTTAAAACCAACCGACTAGCAAATCGCGTTAAAGAACCTCATTCAACGCAACAAGCAAGTGGATAAACCGTCTGCACTCTGTCGCATTTCGCTGCCGTTTATATTGGTCAACACGTCCAAGGACACGATCATCCAGTGCGAAATGAGCGAAGACCGGCAGGATATCTTCTTTAACTTTAGCGGGCCGTTCGAGATCAACGACGACAGCGAGATCCTCAAGCGAATGAACTTGCACCATGTCGCAGAGGCCGACGCGGCCACCCACATCCCAGAGAAACTGATCCGATACCTTCCCCCCGACTACCTTGTATAACACTCGTCGTTGATCCTTCATGGCCTAACACGACGGCAAGAATGGGGCCATATAATGCACATGGAACGAACGCCTTAATATATATATATATATATATAATTCGTTTCGGCACGGCGATTGATATTCGTTTCACATGAATTTATATATGGTCGAGACAGCGATGGATAGGTAATACCATAAAAAATAACGTCGCCAAAAGTATCGTACAAAATTTGATTTGGTATGAATTTCCGCCCTCGGTTCAATCGAATCAAGCACTTCTACATAATACTATTAATAGTATTGTGTTTTGCAGTTTTACTAAAACAGCAAAATCGAGAAAAACCAGCAAATTTGATCGAAACTAGGCAATCTATGTTGGTGTTGTTGTCTTCAGTACTACGTAGTAGTACACTATATCTTTGGTTTTCAAATTTGGTATTCAGGTAAAATCGATTTGCATAGATTATATATTCTTCGCGCTGTCGTCTGGATAACGTTATAGAGTGTATAAACTTGAAATGCTCCCTAACTTTGATGGCTTCTGATTGGTTCTAGGACATATATAACTTCGTGATGATTGGTTGATATGGTGAAATGAAGCAATCGGATTGGACGACCTGGGTGCAATCAAATCTAATGATGAAACCATTATATCCAATCATCGTTGCGCAGTGTTCAGTCCTTTCGGTACGTACACATACATGGTATTTATATATATGTATAGGATTTTATATATTACTACTTCGAAGTTATGCTACCAGGTACGTAGTACACTATTAATAGGACATTTGATGCTATTTACTAGTAGTACATGTTAATTCAAAGTGCAATACCAGTATTTTCATCGATTTCCATTGTACTGGTATCCGCGAAACAAGAATACTATTGTTATTCAATACTAGTATATTTTAAATAATATTTTATACTAGTATATCACTATTGCTATCGTTCGTTCAGTCTCATTCAACAGCTTGGGTATGCTTCCCCGCTCGATGCTAGAATCAGACTACGGTGGAGGCCACAATTGAGTAACGTTAGTTCAGTACAATGTGTACTACCCTCCGCAGGACTACAGCTTTCGATTCAGAACAAAATGTATGAATTTAAATGCGAAAAAACACACGATTTCTCAAATAATACTATTATGGCGCAGGTAGTACTTGAGAGTGTAAGTACGCAATCACATGTTGGACGCCACGTCCCCGCTCGGTTGAATTCGTCGCCATGGCGAGTGCGTCGGCGACGTGACCTTCGTGCCGGTGGGTGACGAGAAACGTCACCACTTCCAAATGTCCTCTCTCTGCTGCCCAAGTGAGCGCCCATTCCGTGGCTCCTTCTCGTCGGTGCTTGTCGAGCCATTGGACAATCTCCAGATGGCCATTTGCGGCCGCGTCGTCCATTGCCGAGGTCGTACACCCTTCACTTCGGTGTTCATGTAGCCATTGGACGACCTCGAGATGGCCTTTGGCACTCGCCATGTCCATTGCCGAGGTCGTACACCCTTCCCTTCGGTTCGCGTGGAGCCACTGGACGACCTCCAGATGACCATACCCCGCCGCCCAATCCATCGCTCCGGCCGTACATCCATCGTATCGCTTGTGGTGTAAATATTGGACCATCGCCAAATGGCCATTGCGAGCCGCCCCGTCCATCGCGCGGGTCGAACACTCGTCGTCCGTGCCCAATGCTTCGCTTAAATACATAGCGACCGCCAGCCTCCCGTCCGCAGCGGCGTACTCCAGCGCCCACTCGAGGCTCGACTCGGCGCGATGGGTATGTAAAAACGTCACGACTTCCAAATGTCCATTCTCTGCCGCGCCATTCATAGCCCATACAGAGCACCCCTCGGTGCGGTGGTCGTGAAGGAATCGCACGACCTCCAAATGTCCATATTGCGCGGCAACATCCATGGCCAACGACGTGCATCCGGTGTGACCCACGACGAGATGGAGGAACGCCAGCACATCCACTTGGCCGTTCAGGGCTGCCAAATCTAACAACGGATGTGCCATCGACTGCAGCAACTTTGCATCCGACGCATGGAGCAGTTCCAACACGGAGACATCCCCGTTGTACACAGCGTCCAAGATCAGAATGTCTCGCATGTGGGGCAACGACGCAAAGAGCTTCCACACGCGCGAGTGACCTACGGAAGCGTACCATGCCGCCATCACGTCGTGGATGGCGGCGAACGCGACATCGGTGGGATGCCGGCCTTCGACCGTCACCACGCGGAGGGACATCGGGTTTTGAAACGGACTCTTCAAGCCAACGAACGGACGCATGTCTGGGTAGATACCATGCTGGTACGCCAACACTGCCGTCACTAGTTCGCGCGATTGTAACACGGACGACGCCGCCGCCATCCCGCTCGCTGGTTTGAACGATGAATGAATGTCGAGGAAATCATGTTCACACTATTTCATATCTAAGTGTACGTTAAATAGTGTGAAGCGAAGTTTCACGGTTGGTCCATGTCCCCAATGCTGCTCATCGTTCCGCCACCGGGTAAAATGCATTGCTCATGTTGGCATGAACGCTAGGATGGGCGCAGAGTACTGATGGCGTTCAAATCGATGCTGCATGTCCACATAGAAAGCACAGCACTCCTAATATACTACTTCGAGGTACATTCAAGGCATTGGCGGCTAATTTGGGCATAAATATTTATAACGTGGTTATTTTTCTACATACAAGACGTCCACTGCGATCGTTTAGCGGTGCTTTCTTGTCGTTGCGAGCACGACGTACTCCTTCGTGACGTGCTGGATGTCTTTCGCCTCTTGCTCCCGTTTCCCCGACGCGACGTCGGCATACGTGAAGTGGGACGGGTCTGTTTCTTCGCCTAGGAACACCCAGCCATCGACGTCGCCTTCCTTTGTGAAGGCCGTTGGCTGCGGGTCGCACTCGGGCTTCAACGCCGACGCGGGAAGGGGCAGCCAGCTTTCAATGCGAAAGTAGGACTGCCACTTGTTGGAAGGACTGTCACTGCTGCTGCTGCTGGTCGTGGTCGATGAGGTCGTCGTCGTGGTCTGGGCGCTGTACTGGAGCTTCACCATGCTGTTGGTCGTTGGCAGGAACGTTGTCGAATGACGCCAGAACGAGAGTATGGAATATTCACCAGGGTGAGCGTTACGACCTACCTACATTCTTCATTTCCACGCAATGTAATATAATATCAAGGAAATTGTATTAATAGAATAAAATCTCGTGGAGAATTTTCACCTGGCTTCGCATGTTGAAGTTGCTGCCGTTTTTACCGCAATCCATCCATGAGATCCTTCTTCCCGTCGTCGTTGTCGTACGTTAAATCACTGAAAAGTCGACCGAATCTCTCGTTGTCATGGCGTCGTGTAATTGAACCCAAGCGCTACTGCATCGTGCACTTGAATCACTTCTATCGGTTCATTGTCTTGCAAGTATGTAAAGCTTCCATTTGGAAAGAATAAGTTGCGTAGTTGCAATATGTAGATGCACGACCAAGGACTTGTTAGCCAGGACATGATGGTAAGTGATTCTTTCGTCGTCCAGTCCAGATTGCGTCAATAATTATGGTGGCGGGTCGAAATGGAGCCGTGTGATTGGTGCAATATGGGTTGAACATGGGAATATTCGTGTGAATGTTTAACTTGAGGAATGCAAATTCTCGACATCGTGGCAGGGGTGGCAACGATTTGCAAACTTTCTGCCCAATAGCACGCCTCGTTATGCTAGCGTCTGCTTCCCAATCCCGTAGTGCCTGTCCATGTCGTACAGTGCGTACAATTTAGTGTACACTTTAGGTACCTACCACCAGCAAAAAGGTTTGCCGACAGACCCAACGCCGTTGCCCTCGAAAGTCAAAACTTCGTCAGCAAATTGAGTCAACTCGAAACTACTGTGCTGTCAGGTATGGATGGATGGCTACAGACTTCCCCACGACCATAACATTTGTACTTCCGTTACGTACAGTACTATTAATACTAGGATTGTCCTGTTTGCCAAAGTTGGGCTTGCGTGGCGATTCGCCAAATCTGTCACTGAAATTTGTATGCAAAAAGTTGTCCTAACGTTACTGTATGTATGCTGATGGTTATCACACTATTAATAGTAGTTCACAAGTCACACACTAATCAGATGTTGATGGTGGTCTCCTGCAATCTGGTTGGCTAGATCCTCCCTCCTCTACCAATACTATTAATAGTATTCATCTGTACATTTGGATCCGTCTGGTAACTTTTCAAAAATATTATTCCAATTTTTGGCAAAGTGAGATAAACCAAAAATGCCATTTTCAAAATAGAGGTAAAAAGGTCCAATATTTTGTAAGATGGCGTCGTTTTGGATCCCACTTGGAATTACAGTAACTTGGATTTCGGTGAATAGTACTTTTCAAGCAAGACATGTTTCCATTTTGATCAGATTCATTGATTTGGGCCAGAATATTGCAATATTTCAGTCTCCAAGTCTCTCCAGTTTAGAATAAACAAAACAAACAATACTATTAACATGAGCGCTAACATGGTAGCTAACGTTATGGCAGCGTCGCCGCCGCCTTTGTGAGTTTTGCACGGCTTGTATGCGTGCATTTGCAGTGTACTGTACTTTTGTGCATCTGGCGACGGCGATTGGTCGGCCACGACACTTGCCTGTGGATGGAGCAAGTTGTTGGCACAGCTGAACAGTCGCTGGACTCGGACGGGGAAGGGAATGTCACTTGAGGGAGAGAGGACAATCGCGACGTTCATGCGCATTGCGTTTGCTCTGAGATCGCGATGAAATCGTTGAGGGTGGCCTTCGAGTCGTCGCCGAGTAGTTCGTATCCGTCGACGTGGCGCAACAACTGAGGAGTTTCACAGCACGTCAAGTGATGCCAGTCCAAGCCGATGAATCCGCTCAAGTGTTGGAAGATGATCCCCACTCGAATCGAGCCTGCCTTGATCGGACACAGGCAGGCTTGGCATGTGGAGCTGTCGTTGGTGGCGAGGCCAAGGATGGGTAGCTGCGTATTGGTCCAGGGCTGGGTAGATGTCATATTGGGGCGTACTTTTGATGCGATTTGATAATGAGCTTCTGCCAACCCCACATCACCTTTGCTGCGACAGAATTATCAACTTGACTTTATTCCCATGGACTGTCAAGTTGCGTTGGGTATGCAAACACATCGTCGAAATGGAATAAACTTATTTAAATGAATCATTCGTGTCGTGTATACATACTTCAAAGGACGTTTATATATATTATATATATACACTTTCATTTAAATGAATCATTCATTTCCCAGTCAAGACATAGAACCCCCAATATCTGAGATGTTTTTTGTATCTTGCCATGCCCCAAACTTCGCGTAATATTGACCAATCAGAAACACACATCGACAAAACCAATCTTGATTTCCATGCGAAAAAAAACAAATACCGATACGTAGCTCAAGAATCCCCCCCGGACGAAGCCATGGGCAAAAAGTCCTGGGCCGATGAACCCTGGCCATAGGCTTATTAGCCTCCACCGACTCATTCAGCCCCTTGATTCTGCGACGTAGTACAGGACAGGCAGTGTCGTGTGTGTTGCTGATAACGCCTTGCGACCGTTGTTCGTCATGGCTGTGTACCGGTAATGGATCCATTGCATTGGCCGGGGGCAAGTGGTCCCCCTCCACTTGATGCCGCCCCCCACAACATTTCTCAAGACGACATTTTCGACGAACCATGCGCGTGTGTTTTGTGGTGATATTCACCACCAAATATTGAGCTTCCACCAAGCAATTGTACTGTAGCTAGCAGTTTGTACAGTACTAGTATACCGGTAGTACTGTCGGCTCGTTCCAATTCATATCGGTACAGCACAGTAAGTGTCTTTTCCAATTCATACGGGTAGGTACAGTACAGTACCAGCCGGCGGGGCAGGTTTGAAGGCGAGATACTGGTACAGTAAACTTGGAGTTAAACGTATACTACGTAGTATGTAGTATTTCTACTTACAGTATAATTCGTGTCATTACGAGTTCAGGATATTGAAAAGTTGAACAACCGTTGCATTTTCGACGGGATCTTCAATTCATAACTACAGTAGAGTAGTGAAACCACGCTGACAACCAAGTCACACAACATCCATTCGCATCGAATACATACATATACATGTACCCCCAATGAATCCTCTTTTGGATTGCAACTTGGTCAGACTTGTTGGACAAGAGTACATATTTCGCATAAGTTCCCCCTTTAAACCTTGAAACAATAACAAAAAGTAATTCCAGGGTGTTTCAAAACGCAAAAAGTTACACACCTCCAAGGTGTGGGCGCCATTCATTCGAAGATCGTTTTCGCGTTCAATCGTGGAATCTCCACGCGACAACCTCGGGGGATAGAAGCACCCTTGCAAGGCGCGCTCGCCTCAATAAGTTCACAGGACTAGTCAAGCCGTTCAAAGTGCATGTATTTTCGTGGTTATTTTGACAGATACGCCCCGAAACCATAACAAATCGACTAAACACTTGTCGCTGTCCGTTCTACACTTCGTTTGAAACCAGAACATTCGATACCATCCATCCGATTTAGCCCCAAATCCGTTGTCTATTTCGGATAAATAACCTAAATAGACTTAGCTTTTAGTATAAATTCCTAGTCTTATGAGGCATCGTCTCAAATACCTCGAAGCATCTTGAGGGGTCCATTTGGGTTCCGAGATCCCACTGTCTCGGAATAGCATCTGGACCTCTGTGGGCAAATATTCCCTTATCTAAAGCACCCCATCTGGAAACGTAGATCGTATGTACGTTTTAAGCGTTAAATGTCGACCATGCCGAGATGAACGCGGTATCCACGTGAGAAAATGGATGTTAAAACGTGTTTACAGCCGAAACGTGTCTACGTTATATCCATGAAAACACGGTTTTTGACATGCGGCAGACGGCGGCGTGACTGGTGAGAATGCGTTGTAAACAAGGGAATTAGTGTACCCGCCCTTACAAAAAAGCGGATTCATTTCCACACGAGTCGTGAATTTGAACTCGAGCACGCAACACACAGCCCCCGCCGGCATGCCAGGGACGACCCACGTGAACCCGTGGAAGCGCTGCGAACTGCCGATCCTAGGCATCGCCAAGAACGGTGCGTCGACCTGCCAAGCATGTCGCGACGCGATTCAGACCGGAAGCATCCGTGTCGGCATCATCTTCCACCACGTGAATGGCAACATTGGCATCGACTGGCACCACTTGACGTGCTGCGAGACACCTGCGACATTGCCTGAAGTCGAAGGCTATGAACTGCTGGGAGACCACGACAAGGAAGTGTTGCATCACTGGATCCAATCCTGTGTCTGAACCCTCGACCACGAACTCGTATTTATGAACCTTCCGCGGCCGCGAACGTCGATCGTAGACAACTGGGTCGCTTGCTTCATCTAACTTAAGTTATATCGACGTCCTTTCTGGACTGCGCAAGTGCATATTGGAGGGAAGAACTCGTGTGAGTCTGGTGGCAGTTTGGTTGGGTTTGACTTGACCTGTACTGTACTAGTATCGTTCGTTCCACGATGGAAACATGCCACAACCATCCTCATAACCTCGGTCACGCGACATCGTTCACGTGACACTGTTTCATCAATCCTGGCCATGTCGTGTTACTCCTTCACTTTGCCAAGCATGTAATGGGAATGCCGCAGCGGCGCGGCTCGAGGAACGGCCCTCGATCCAGACGGCTGTTGCTTGTGCTCCACGAGCGTGCCTTCCCCTTCAAGCACCAAGTCGAACCCGTCGCCCATAACCACGTCAAATCGAAATCTCGACTTGTACTTCTTGGGCTGCGACGGTGCAAACGTCACGACGATCTCCATGGGTGGGTGGATCGCCGCCGCGTAATCCGGGGACGGCGTCGGCACAGCCGCGCCCGCCGTGTGCAGGGGCAACGTCGGTCCCCGCAGCGTGCCGGACATGGTCGCGATTTGAAACACGGTTGGGTCGTCGTCGGCAGCGGACGGGTGCGGCGGTTGCAGCTGATGGGATGACGGCGTGTGGTGGTGGTGGCGAACGGTAAAGTGAACGTCCACTTCGGTGGGGTTGGCCAAGAACACGCGGATCGTGTGGGTTCGTTCACAGTGCACGCGGCCGAAATGGAACTGCGACGGCGCGAGCACGAGCTGGGGCCGAAGGACGCGCCCTTGCAGCGCGATCGTTTGCACACTTCCGTGGCTAAACCGGATGCCGAGGTGTCCGGATAAACTCACGGCGGTGGACAACGACGTCGCAGGGAGGGTGATGGCGGTGGTGGACGGGGTTGGAGGGGGGTGGAACTGCACGTGCACTTGCACGCTTTGACTTGGGCCGAGGGTGAAGCTGGGCGTCGGGTGCTGGTTGAACGCGAGCGGTCGGCTCGTCGGCGACACGACGCTCGCCGACAGCGGATGATGGTGGTTGTTGGCGGCGGCGGTGGCTTGGACGATCGAGAACGGACCGGCCGTGTCTAGGCGGAACGTGAGCTTGGTGGCGAGGCGGTTGACGAGTTGCATCGTTTGAAACATTGCTGGATGGGTCGGTGGGTGCAGCGACCACGTGGTGAACGTCGCGCGCGAGGGGGATGCCTTGTCCCAGTGCAAAGCCGGCGGCACGATTTCGCCGGTCACGGCGAGCTGCACACACGCGACGCTCTTAAAGTTGAGCGCGCCGCCGGGTTTGGCTTTGCCCAATGCGTTTGTAAGGCGCACGGCTTTGAGCGCCTTGCCCACCGCCCCCATCATGAGCGATGACGTGGAGCTCTGGTTACTCAGTGACGAGTCGGGGCGATAAACGGCCGCGTTTTCCCCGTGCAGCCACTCGGCGTCGGCGACGACAAGGGCCCGCGCGACGCCGACGGGGCACGACTGCGGATGGAACGTCATGACAAAGTTGGCGTGGTCGTGCTTGGCTATCACGCGTTCCATGGGCTCGACTGTGAACGGGACCGCGATGTCATCCTTCTGGACATGGAGGCGGATGCGGACGTCCACGAGGTTGCGGGGCCCGACGGCGACCGTCACGTCCACCACGCGCTCGACAGCGTCAGGATCACGGTACTCGGCGAGTTTCCACGTAACCTTTGCGGGAATGGGGCCAGTGTTGATGACTTGAACCTTGCGGGTCACTATGTCGGCCTGCAGCGGGAGGATGCCAAACTCGAGGAGGGGGAAGCGGGGGTCGTGATGCATCCGAAGCCCGACGCAGTTGGGGTTGATGCTCAGCGGACACCCCACGACGTTGATGGTAGCGCTGAGTCTCACGGGGGGCATCGTGTCCAACTTAACGACAATGTCATCGACGTACCGCCCCGACATGTTGTTGAGGGCGGTCACGGTCACGACAGTCTGCTCCCATGGGGCGATGGACACGGTGGACGGCGCGCATAGCAGCGCTACCCCCAGTCCAGCGCTCAGTAGCATGCGGTCTTGATGGACGTTGGCCTGGTTGGATTTGTACTGTCGACCCGACTCGGACTGGAACGCCTTGTCGCGAGGCTCCAATGATGATGCCTGGGGGGGGATGGTTGCATTGTCAGGGAGCGTCGTGTTGTACTTGCGCGCTTCGAGGGATAGTTTAGCCGGGATCCCGCTGTGATTGCGAATCAAGAGACGGAGCGACTTGCGTGCAAACAGTGGCACGTGTTCGCCAAAGTGGAGTTTGGGCAAACTCGACCCGACGGGGGCGTCGGGGGACACGACGGCGGTACCCTGCGACACTGTGTCGTCCACCAGTTGGTACGACAACACGAGCCCCTTTTGCAGTGTCACAAGTTCAAACCCGAGGGGTACGAGCACCCCCCGCACTTGACATGAAAACACCACGTCTGTAAGCCCCGGCGCCCGTCCGGTAAAGACGATGGTCACATGTAGTGACTGCTTGGACTCTAGCGTCCCGCTGCGGGGGTGAAACTCGACCGAGTACGCTTTCGACTTGCCCAGTGGTTCGACCCACTTGAACGGCGCCGGCAGGTTGGATACATTCACAAGGGCTAAAGTCCGTGTAACGGGGACTCCAATGTACGTGGTGCCGAGGGCGACCTTGGTTTGGCTTAGGTATACTTGGGGACATTGGATCTCACCTCGCGCGGAAATGCACGTCGTCGCGGCGTCCACGACTTCGCACTGAACCGACCCGCGGAACCGCTCGGGGTACTTGCCGCTCGTACACACAATCGAGACCATCCCCTCTTCCCCCGGCTGCAACGTGCCATCTTCTGGATGGAATGACAAGACACATTTATGGGGCACGTCTGGCTTGTCGTCGGTCGTGCTAGCGTCGGATGATGTGACGAATGAAAACCGCGACGACGCCATCGAGTCGGTCGAGTTGGTTCGTTTCAGTAGGGGCACAAAACCGGGGGGGCCTACGTGGGAAAATCGGTACGTGGCCACGGTTGCGCTGTCGTTTTGAAACCGCAGCACTTGCGTCGCAGTGTTGCCGACGCTCACAAGGCCAAAGTCGATTTCGGGCGCGAGAAGGCGAATGTGTGGCCGCGGCACATGCCCTTGGACCCATGCCACGACCTGCGACGACGCTTCCACGGCGCAGGTTACGGGAAACCCAAACCTCCCTGTGCGATGGGGTGTCACGTGCACAACAACCGTACATGTGCCATGGGCGGGCACGGTGCCCTCACTGGGCTCCACGTGGCAGATCAAGTCGTGTTTCCCCCCAAAATCGATCGCATCATCATCATTGTCGTCATGTTGTTGCTGGCTGTGATGCCCCCATCGAAACGCAACGGCCGTGGGGCCATGGTTCGACATCACCAGGGGCGCTGCAATGTCCCTGTTCAAGCAGGTATCCCCGCCAAACGACACGATCCACGGGTTGAGGTGGATGGCAGATGGCATCGATGCGCCTTCAAGCGTCAATTGCATCGCGTCCACTGTGGTAAGGGCAGCTGAGTCCTCCCGCCCGTTGTTCCTGGCGGCCCCCGGCAGGCAACACGGCGGCACGTGGCAGATCGTGAGCGATGCCAGTGCACCAAATGACGCGACTGTTGTGGGGGTGAACGTGACGACAAAGGTCGCGGTCGCGCCTTGGCCAAGTACACCGGTAGATGGGGCAATCTCAAACGGCACCCGTAATCGTGCCGACACGAGCTGGCCCTGTTTATCTTCTTCACATATGTGATGATTGGTGGTGGCATGGCGGCTGGTCATGAGTTGTAGTTGGTGCTGGTGCTTGTCGACAACAACCCACTCAAACGGCAACGCCAGCGGCGTATGGTTAACGACCTGGAAGGTTTGCGTGGCCATGGCGTGCGTCATGATGGGGGCAAACAGCAGGCGGTCGAGCGGCCCCATCGACGCCACGGTCGCTTCAATCGGCACGCGGTTGATTGTCACTGGCGCGATGTCGATTTCACACCCCCGACCCGCAACTTTGAACGGTTTTACTAGACAGTTGTCGCACACAATGTAAAACGTGGCGGATTCGGTCCCGACGACCGTGGGGGTGTACACAAGCGTGAGGTCGGCGGCGTCGCCCGTGCCCAGATCCATGTCACACGGCGACAGCGTGAATGGACCGATGGACAAGGCGGCGGGGGCGGGAGTTGGTTGTGCTTGCAGTGCGTGGATATTGTCGAGGACGTTGGCGACACCCCAGTCGGCGTCGCTGACAAGCCAGAACCGACCGCGGCCGCCGGAATTCAAGCACGAGATGGTCGTGGTGGATGTGCCTCCGATGAGGCAGCAGGACGCGAGCAGCGTCGACGGCAGCGACAGCCGCGGCGGGTCGCGATGGGCCGCCAGGGGCACTTGAAGCGGAATGTCCGTGCCGCTGGGGGTCTCTATCATGACAACGAACGAGTCGCTGTAGTCGGCGCGGGTGTCGGGGGCGAATTGGACGCGCACTTGACAGGTCAACCCCGGCGCGATGAGACCGGAAGAGTCTGGGTACAGCACGGACGCGAGCATGAAGAACGTGGACGAGGGCGGGAGGATGCGACACCGGCCGGACAAGGAGCTCACGTTCTTGAGAAGCACCAACTGCTCGTAGATGCCCCCCATATCGTACGAGGTAAACTCGACGGGGTTGGGCTCAACCACGAAAGATGGCGCTAGTTCGTTGATTGAGTCGTTCGATTTGTCATAGCGGGGGTTGCGGGGGAACTGGAGTGTGCTCTGCATGCGCGTGAGGATCTTGGCATTGAGTAGCTGCGCTTCCGTGCTTAGCGTCGGCGTCGGCGGCGGCCGCTTCGACATACGTGTCGGTTTATACTTGTTGCTTGTGTTGGACACGTTGTTGTTGGTGGTGATAGTGGACGATGATGAAGGCACTACTGCTGCGTCGTCGTCGACGAATTCACTCACATACTCTTCGTCTTCATCGTGATTGCCGTCATATGACGAGTGAGCAGGTGCCGTGCTCTTTGGAAGTGTCATGCCTTTGCGAATGCTCACACTCGCTGTGGACGAGAGGTACCCTGGGACTTGAATCGCGGCTTTGGCGGCTTTGATTTGGGCCGTCGGGCCGTTCCCAGATCGATCCAACATGCGCTCGTGGTTGGCTTGAAGCAAGTCGCGCGCGTGGATCAATGACGTGGCAAATTCCCCAAACGGAAGCAATTCGTCGCGATGGAGCGTGAAATTGGACGGTCCGATCGGAATCTGAGCCTTCACGACGAGACCTTGAGCGATTAACTCGCGCGCCTGCTGCTCGTCCTTTTTCGCGGCGTCCTGGCGTCGGGATTCCAGAAGGGCCATGAGGTCCGACGCTTGGGTGACCTTTTCGCGCAAGTTGGCGTCGATCGCTGCCACACGCTCCTTGGCGAGCACCAAGTACGGATGGTCCGGGGCAATGCGAGACGCAGTTGTGGTATCGTCTTGGTTCGTCTCTTCTCGTCCTTCGCTGTCTGTCGCAGTCACGCTGCTACCGTCGGCGGTGTCTGGTGCAACGTCGTCGGCCCATTCTGCATTCAGGTTCTTGTCAAAGTCGCTCGTGTAGTAGTCAAGGAATGCTCGGCGCAGGACGTTGGAGATAGAGCCCACCGCCACCACATCTTCATCCTTTAAGTCGCCCCCGCCATTCGATCCTCCTCGCTCCTCCGGTCCCGCCATGTCACCGCGTGACCTTTCGGCGGATTCGTGTGTGCCGGTAAATTCAAATACATATCCGGATTTTGTCAATACATATCCGGATTTTGTCATGTCCCACTAGTTTTCTAGTACTACTAGTAGTAGTAGGCCTAGTTGGGCGCATATTCTGACTGCCGCGATAACGCTAATTTGAAAACAAAAAAAACGGACTGGAGAGAACTATCAATAAAATATGGGGGAACCGCAGCAACGCGGCGAACAGCGCCACAAGGTCCCGTCCAGCGGCAATGGCTTCGAGGCGGCGACGCCAGTGCTGCACGACTCGGATGACATCAAGATTCACAGCATCATGGGGCAGGTGGTGAGCTCGGTTCGCGAGAAGATCCACGTGAACGCGATCCGCAACGTCTTCGTGTACGTGCAGGGTTCTTGTTCCCCACACAACTGATCTGTACTTGTTGCGTACATAGTTGCATGGGTGTGGGCGAAGAACGTCCGTTCGGCATCCCAAAGCCACCGCAAATCGCTCCGCGCTTGCAGCACAACCTCCAGTTTTTCCTCGTAAACTACATCCTGCTGTTCACGGTCGTGTTGTTTTGCATCCTCGTGTTCCATCCGTGGTCGCTGCTGTGCGTCCTTGCCACCACCGGGGCGTGGGGGGCATTTGCTGTCCAGCGCAAGCATCTTCAGCAGCTGTACAAGAACGGGCTCAAAGAAGAACATCTCGTGTACACCATGCTCGCAGGTACGTACCCACGACCCTTCCTTCTAACTACCACCTCATCCTGTAACCACCTTCGTAGCAACGCTCGTCGTGTTTGCATTCTTCCTCCTCCCGTCGCTTATCACTGCCCTCGGCGTCAGGTACTGCTCGATTATTGTAATGTTGGATTCATATCTTTTTGTGGTGTTTACTACTTACCCGAAGTAGTAATACTAATTAATATATATATATATATACTGTATTAGTACTGATTATGACGGTTTCTTGCTGTGGACATTTCATCGAAATATGTAGCCTCTCCCCCTACTTATTGATATCCCTAATTCACAGCGAATGCGATATATATATATATATATATATATATATATCGGATCTATTTATTGTGTTTGACATAGATATATACTGATATATATGTCTATACTGATATATATATATATATATCTACTGATAATTTGACAGCCTGTTTGTACGGACCTATCATTGAAATAGCCTACAGTACCTAATATGTACAATGCCTTGTACCATAGCGGGGGTGTGAACGTCGTGCATGCGTTTTTCCGCGACAGCTCCCACCTCGTCCATCGTACTGATCCGACGGTAACCGACGTGCCCAGTGACCAACTCGTGTAGATAACATGGAAACATTGATTATATGACGGAGATCCACCCGTGGAACTCTTCGTCGTCATACTGCGTGGCCACCACATACGCATTGTCGTGGGATGGCGGCGCGAGGGGAAGCCGCCGTGAATACCGCCGCCCTTCGGGCCATTTGGAGAAGCAAAAGTTTTGCTCGATAATGTCCACGTGGGTGTCGGTGGCATCGACGACCACGGCGACGTGACCTGTTGGAGCATGGCGACCCACTGCTTTCCAAAGGAGTAACGAACCCTTAGTCGGTCGAGATTTCGCCGTGCCATGGGGAACCCGTCGCGTCGGAACTAATGACCGAGAAGCGGCGTGGCGGAACACGGCCGCGTCAAACATGTCGTGCGCGGTGGGGATGCAGTCGAATGTGATGCGGTGGTGCTGCAACAGATATCGCCGCGCGAGCTCGACGCATTGCCATTGCACCCCCGTGCAATGCCCTTGGAATGTCGCGCGTTCCATGTCAAGGGCTGACTTGTTGTCAGGAAGCAAGCACGACTTGACGTCGACACCTTCAAACGTCCCAAGGATCGTTCCGAACGGTTCACTGCCATCGTTGGTCGCTGAAGAGGTAGTCGTGGGAGGAGCAGGTAGGTGGTGGTGGACAAGAGGAGCAAGGGATTGGGGTTGCGGGGATGTCGTGTGTAGTTGGTTCGAGACATGCAGCGCAGCTTTGGACGTGTCCGTGCCACCGACATGCACTTGGTTCGATGGATGCGGCCGCTTGGCAGTGTGGACATGGCGCAAGATCGACGGCATGATGCTCGATTACTAGTAGTATCTATGGCAAAGGCGCAAATGCTAAAGTGACACTTGAACACCAACAAATTGCAGTGCGCTTTTTCAAAGCGTGACCAAATCGCTCGACGCCCGCTGATTGGCGGAGTTTGGACCAGTTTGCGATCTGATTGGTTCATTTCGTGTCTTGAACTCGCGAGTGTTGAAACCGTCACGAATTTCCGACGGCGTCTGGCGTTGGTGCTGTGGTGGCAACTGCTTCACATGGAGAGCTAGCTCCATGTGGCCAGCAGGACATCCAGAATAGCCATTGCGACTGCCAAGACAAGCTTCAAGAGGGACGAGTGTGAGTAAGCGTATGCGACGGACGAAGGATGGATATCGTCGAGTGGCTTGAGATAGGATCTCGGGACATGGAATAGAAAAGACAACCGTGAGGCAACGACGACGTATAACAGACATGGCGCCTGTTGTGAAGCAAATTTGGAACGTGCAGCAGGAACCCGTTGGAGTCGTGACCTCCAGCGGTGGTGGTCTCTAGGCCTCTTGGCAGAGGACGCAACGCCAGGATACATGTGTATGGCGAGGGACGCATGTACCCCTTCGAAGCATGCATTAGTCACCAAGCTACTCAGCTGCATGACATAAGATATGAACGTCTCGGATCCACATGGGCTCACACTTCGCTGTCCAGTTCTGTCGAGTAGTCAAGTTATAAACGCCGTCGATCCACGTTCGCTCGGTGCGCTGTCCAGTTCTGCCGGACAGGTCGAGACAGACTGCAATTACATTCGCTGGTTCCACTCATCTCCATCTAGAGATCAGGCTACTTCCATCCAACTACCCATGCTGCCTTGTCCCAAAGCATCACATTCTCAAGTGCTTGGAGCTGGGAGCGGCAACTGATGTTGATGGCGTCACAAACGGGAGGGTGTACAAAAGTATACTTTAACAAAATGAAAATGGAATTTCACTTACGTCAAGTCAGAATGTAAAACGTAATTGATATAGCCAGGGATATGCTTAGATGACAACTTGGTCGTCGTGGACATCCCTCCTGAACCCACGCAATATGATTGGGCAAGGCATTAGTGCTCGACATTTTCCATTCTTCGGCGGAGGCGGCGGACCCTCGAGGCAACATGGGCATCATGTTTTCCAAAGTGTTTGCGTCTCTGTTCGGCAGCAAGGAGGTTCGCATCCTCATCCTCGGCCTGGACAACGCAGGGAAGACCACTATCTTATGTACGTAGCAGCGATGTCTCCTGGCATGTCCTCACGTTGTTCTGCTGAGTAGACCGTCTTCAAGCCGAGGAGATCGAGCAAACCGTGCCGACGATTGGGTTCAACGTAGAAACCATGCAGTACAAGAACATCAAGTTCCAAGTATGGGACCTCGGTGGGCAAACAAGCATCCGGCCATACTGGCGGTGTTACTACCCCAACACGGACGCGATCATCTACGTCGTGGACTCGGCCGACATCGATCGCCTCAACATTGCCAAGCAGGAACTGCATGCGATGCTTGAAGAAGAAGAGCTGAAGGACTCTATCTTGCTCGTGTTTGCCAACAAGCAGGATCAACGAGGCGCGCTCAACGCCGCGCAGGTACAACATCCACACCACATCGATCCATCCATCCATCCCTCACGTGTCCTTGATTTGCATATAGATCTCGGAGGCCATGGGGTTATCCGACATTCGGAATCGACAATGGAGCATCAAGGAAACCACCGCCACGAAGGGCTCGGGGTTGTTTGAAGGGTTCGACTGGTACGCCACCTCGACGATCCCGATCTTCTTGTCATGTCCTCACGGCGTTGACTTAGGATTGTCACGTGCATCAAGGGTGAATGAGAGTAGCAGATACACAGCGAATGGGGGATATAATAAACATGGGTGCAGAGTAATATGGAGACAGACTGTCCTCGGCGAACACACACATAGAGATCCTTGCCTGACGTCCTACCGCTTGCATGTACTAATAGTGTAAGAGAAGTGTGTCCGCATTGTCACCTGTCTTTCGCTTCCACCTCTCTACCTAGAAGATGCGAGCCACCCCCTCACATTCGGTCGTGGAGACATTGTAATGCCATACACTACTCACTCATGCCTTCGTAGTCTTTGGACGACCTTGCCAAGAGCATGCAGTACGTACACAGGCATCCATGTGACCTCTCTCTCACTGTCTCATTCGATTCCTGCACGTTTGTCACCCTGCGAAGCCCATCCTTCTTGACATGTCCGCATGCCTCTTGGATATTTGATGTCGGCAGATCTCGTACTGTACATGGAACTGGTGGCTGATCGACCGGTAGCAATCAAATTGCATATATTTACAAACTTGGCACTATATTTACTTAATCAATGTATTGCGAGAGACACGAGGTATTGGAGGCGGTTGTTGGGTTCATATTGCAATGTACAAAATATGCAAATCAACGTCTCCATACATCGAGGGGGAGTGTCTTTGGACCCAGGCACCCCATACAAACGCCCAGTCATAAAACTCGGCCAGCTGTTTGTTGCCTTGGTCCAACTTCTTTATAACACTATTCCACGGTGGATTGACGGAGGCACGTGCATCGATGGCTAAGACCGCGTCCAAGCGCCGAGCGTCCGAGGACACCGTGCCGACGGGAGCCAAAGACGTCGCCCATGTACCCCACGTGGTCACCGCTGCGCCGCCATCTTCGTCGTCACGCGCGCACCTTGGCGTGAAGAAGATGAAGTCGTCCGATCAAATCCAGCCCGCCAGCACAACGTCCACGCCGTCCCCGATGATTCACATGATGCGCGGAAACAACCAGCACGAACATGACACGTATTGCGCACCGACACCATACGGTCCGTCCGCGTACATGGCGCCGACGCCGCTATCACCCGACATGCACCATCCCCCGCTCCAGCGACGGAAAACGAGCATGGACCATCATCATCCCATACCCCCGGCGTCGTCGTCGGGATCTCGCTCTCATGCAGCCTCGTCGTCCTACCATTCCCAGTCCAGCGGTCCGCCACCCTCGTCGCGCGCCGCGCCGCCATCGACCAACGACGTGGCTATGTTGGAGCAGCAAACCGCGCGACTGTGGAACTTCGACACGTGGGAGTGCGGCGACCAGTACAAGTTCGTCCGCCCCATGGGCCAAGGCTCTTATGGCCAGGTACATCCCTCTCTTTAGTGACATGCGTGCTCACTGTCAGCAGGTGGCGGAAGCGTACGACACCCTTCGAGACAAACGCGTGGCCATTAAGCGCGTGATCAACGTGTTCGACCGCGCGCAGGACTGCATCCGGCTCTTCCGCGAGATTTACATCCTTCGCCACGTCCACCACAGCAACCTCGTGACGCTGCTGGACGTGATCCCGCCCAAGGACTACGATAGCTTCCGCGACCTGTACCTTGTCTTCGAATATGCAGACACGGACCTCCAGAAACTGTTTTGCCTGCCGCAGTACCTCAATATCCGCCATGTCCAAGTGTTTCTGCATCAGCTGCTTCACGGACTCAAGCACATGCACGCCTGTGCGATCGTCCATCGAGATCTGAAACCGGCCAACATTTTGCTCAACGAAACGCTCAGCCTCAAGGTATTTATTTATTTTTACTCGATTTGTTTGGACTTTTGAGTGCTAAATTCGCCAAATATCGAATATCGATTGATTCTGTGTACTGACCTTTGTAAAGGGTTGTTTTGGTCCATCATCACACTAATTAAAGTCACACACTAATTTGACGTTGAGGATATGGTTGCAATCGGATATATTGCCGATGATATATATATGTTACTGACCTTTGTAAAGGGTTGTCCTGTGGCAATTTGGTCCATCATCACACTAATTAAAGTCACACACTAATTTGACGTTGAGGATTTGGTTGCAATCGGATATATTGGCTACATACTCGTACTTGTGCCGATGATATATATATGACTTGTATGTCACCTTTTGTTTTGGTTTTTAAATATTCCTCGTGTTTTCGTCGTTTTTTAAATGGTTTGACATGCATATATGCTTCGTATTTAAAACATATTTTAAAACATGCACTCGTATGCCAATACAGTAGATAGATCAAGTACGAGTGTGTGTGTCCAATATATTATTATTGTTTGGATTTTCAATCAATGCAGCAGCGGCGTTCGTATATCATTGGTATTTTAAATATATTTCATCGGATATTTATCCACCACAATAGATTTGCGACTTTGGCCTGGCCCGAGTATGCCTTCCTCATGAACCGACGGCCACCGACGCCGCTACGGATAAGGACATCAACGACGAAAGCGACCATCATTCTCCGACCGGAACTCCCTCGGCGGACTCGCCAGTCGCCGGTGCTGCTACGACTGGAACTACTCGCAAGGTATATATATATATATATATATATATATATTTAAACACACAAATATATTTTGTTATTGTTTTGATGAGCTAAGATATCAACTGTATTTGACGATTGTATGGATTGTGTTTTGGGTATTTGCAGTGGACGTATTTTTATTCACTGGATTGTTGCCACAGTGAATGTCAAATGTGATATAAACGGGCATTTTAAATGCATTTTAAATTCATCGATTGTTTGTGAATAGTACACCCGGCAAATGACCAAGCACGTCGTGTCTCGGTACTATCGCGCCCCGGAATTGATCCTCCTTCAGGTACTTATCCTCCACTTGTTAATATTTCAATATTCTAGACATGGTATAAATAAATATATATATTTATTAGGACTACGGCCGAGCCGTGGACATGTGGAGCATCGGGTGCATTTTCGGCGAACTGCTCAATATGCAAGCGGAAAACTGCCAACATTACCTGGTATATATATATATAAAATATATACAAAAACTTGCCTTCGACTAATATATTTGTTGTTTATATATCATTAGAACCGCAAGCCATTGTTTCCTGGGCGGTCGTGTACGACGCTAAGCCCGACCGATACGGTCACGTACAAGAAGGAGATGGATCAGCTGTTTGTCATTTTCAATGTGATTGGAACCCCCGCGGAAGAGGACATCGCGCACATGACCAAGTTCGCGCCCCTCTTGCGCCAAATTCCCAAGAAGCCACCCGTCAACTTGCACGACGTACGACACTTAGAAGTGACGTGATCGTGTTTTGGATGACGTGATCATGTTTTGTTTTGATGACGTGATCGTGTTTTGATGACGTGATCATGTTTGGATGACGTGATCTCTTTATCGAGGACGGGGGCTTGACGTACTTGCGATATTAGATGTACCCTGGCGCGCCATCGGAAGCGCTCGACCTGCTGCGCCAACTGCTGCATTTTAACCCTGCCAAACGCTTGACGGTACAGTTCTGCTTTCTCTGTTATTGTGATCGTTTGTGTTATAATGTGATATTCTGTGTTTTATCGTGATGATATTAGGTAGACGAAGCCCTGGCGCACCCGTTTTTGGCCCAAGTCCCCAACATGCACTCGCAAGAGGTAATATATATAATACATGTTTCGATTTGTTATAGTACCCTTATATATATATATATATATAATTTGCCAGATAGTTATGATAGTAAATGAATGTGTTGATGATAGATCATGGCACCAGCGTCGCTGCACATTCCGAACGAAGACAACGACGACCAATTCACACGCGACCAACACAAACGTATGCAGCATTCTTATATATATATATATATATATTGTGCTTTTCAGTCAAATTTGCCTATTTTGGGGGATTGATGAAATGGCCAACTAATCTAGCAAAGGAGTATGATTGGCTACAAAGAATGAAAGTTGCAATTTGATTGGCTAAAAAGATTGATTGATGCGTTGCAGTCACAAAGATACCTCTTCAACTTCGTTTTATAGTATGAAATTTCCAAGGTCCGGCGGTTGATTCAACCAACCACTGGAGGAAATTTTGAGTAGAACAAATCACAATATATATATATTTAAATATCTATTTATTTGACTTGCACACATTCATCACTATATTATCAATTGACATGGACGGACCTAGGCCGCATTTACGACGAAGTGGTGAAGTTCCACGAAGTTGCCGTGTCCAGTATTGGCAGTGATGACCTGAGGTCGTACAATTCATAGACCCCCCTACGACTAGCAACAGTCGACGAGTACACTGCTCAAAATGCCCTTCATAATATAAGGAGACGCTGAAATTTCTACTCACTTGGGATTGTTATACAGATACTGTAACGGTATGCTCCAAATTGAATGGATTCACAGCAATATTAACGTGACCCAACCGAACTGTAAATGTATCCCAACATCCGAAATACCAAGTGAAATTATAGTTTCATTTGATTGGATATAATACATTAATTACCCCAAGAAGTATTACCTTTATTATCTTATACTTCGAAGTACTACGTAGTACTTCGAAGTAGAATACAGTAGAAGGATTTCGCCTTATTTACCTCGAACCTTGTGAAAACACATACTTGAACCCTCTACAAATGAGTACTATTAACTGTAAATAGTACTTCAAAGTACTACAGTATATTAATACCAGTACTTGGTGAAAAACTAACATCACAAACACTAGTACTAACTACTATTAATACTGTAGTACTTTGAAGTACTAATAGTGTTAGTGATGTTAGTATTTCACCAAGAACTGGTGAAAAACTAACATCTCTAACACTATTACTACTGTAACTACTATTAATACCTTTTGTGAACCTTTCCATGAGAATTGGCAGTTTGTAGCACTCGATTCAGGAAATCGCCTTAACAATGCAAGCGGTTTTTGTGCTATCAACGGCTGTTCTAACCTCATTACGGTCGAAATAAAATATTTTCTATTGGAGAGGTCAACTCGATTAGAACGGATTACTACTACGTAGTAACGTTACTATTCATAGTATGCGCTGGTCGAGTATCACAAACATGCTAGGCGTATCCGCAGATAGCTTGTACGACGAGTCCAAAATTGAGTTCAGCGTCGCCATGTATCGCTTTCCTCGCAACGCCCTGCCCCCAACTCAATGCGCGACTAGAAAAGCCCAGTCAATGGCCATTGCAGCCCGTTCTAGACCAGATTTCGTACACCCTGCTTGACGATATTGGCATAAAGCCGTCAGATACCAAACAATGTGCAAATGGCCGTTTTGAGCAGCAAAATCCATGTAGGGAGTTGATAACGCAGAGGAAATTGTAAAACTGATTGATTGGCGTTATCTACATCTACATGCATGACTACTGTGACTATACTATATCTAATGCTATATATACGTGCGCTCTGCAGAAGGAACTTCTGGTGTCCATGGCCGAGCACGCCGCACGCCAATCGAGCTTGGTCGTAAACTGACGTCAACAGTGACGTCTGTTCTGATTGGTCGATAACCCTATGACGCCACTGGAGTGACGTCGTTACAATCCATAGATAGTAGCCCCAGAAGTGCATCCCGTGTGGCCCACGACAGCATGGAGAAACTCGAGGACATTATTCATATTCCACGCTGCCAAGTCCAGCACCGGGCACGGCATGCAACACATGGACTGAAAGCAACTTCACTATGCAAAGGTTTCCGCTGAACACAGCATGTGCAATGACGGCAA